CCCCCCGTACATGTATTTGTTAGCTTATTCAGTAACCCTCTCCCAGTGCTAGGTTATGCGGTATATGGCGTCCGCACAGCCAGAGCGTGATGGTGAATGTTGAACCGGATATCAGAGGAATTAGTTGTGACGTGTCCTTACACGTTGTGCTCAGTCCTGGATGCACTTAATAAAACAACGAAAAAACGCATATATTGTTAGGTCATTGAGTAGCTATAGACGGGGTTTGGATTGTGTAATTGGATTTATTGAACACTCAAATAACTCTAGTGCTATCGCTAATTAACACTCTGCAGTTCACTTCAGTACGTACTAAGTCTTCTCAGTCTATCTTCACCAGTCGTGGCCTTGTAGCGGCTTCCAAAGCAGTAGATCCCTCAGTTTCCATGTTCTCGTCCTTACTGATCGGCGACTGCCTCCCAACTAAGTAAACTCTAGACTTGTCCTGCTTATAACACCTCGGCACGTACCGCATATAAAACACCTTTTCCAACAGCTCTTCTGTTGTTGCGTCACAGCTGTCGCACGAACAACATAGAGAACACCGTTTTCCAGTCCATAGGTGCCCGTTAGGAATCTGTTAACGGCCATTACGTAGCAGTGACCGTTGATTACAGTTATTGCTTAGCATCGGGTCTGCATGCTATAGTATCGTGTTCCCTGGCCACCGTGTTAGCAGCTACTCACCTGGCTACGTTTGTTGCACTCCACAAGAAGAAGAAAAGTACACCGCCTCACAGATACGCACTTGTGTAAGCTCTCAATATGATAGTAGTTCAGTGTTGGCTGTACTTCCTGGACATTATGGGTGACTTCTGCTTACCAGTATATACGGAGGTTCCGGAGAACCGTGAGTTGTTCTACGTCCTCTGTCCCAAGATGTGTAATGTGCATGGTATGGAGCCTGTTGTTGCGTTTACTCTGTGTAGGCAGAAACTCATCACAGAATTTCCCCAGAGCGAGTAGTTCTTCAAAGGGTTTCACAAAGCGGGTCTTGTATTTGCATTTAAACGACGCGACGAAACGAATTCCGAAGCTGACGCTACGCAGTCGATGCAGTGTTCCGGCCTGTATTGTTACCTGCATTTTTTTTTTCCTCTTCTCATATGCAGTATGAAAAAAATGTTTCAGGCGGCTTCTCTGTTAACGTGTTCATTATGTAGCCCTCATAATATACCATAACGGGAAGATCACATAATGACGCAGCCCTTGTGTACTGTTTCTTGTTTATTACGTGATAAAGTGTTATTTCTATTCGCAAAACCCACGAACAGTTTGCTTTAAAAAATGTTGAAACACGTTTCTTTCACTGATCTAATACTCCAAATACCACGAGCCGGTGCTTCATCCGCGTACGCGTATGTCGCGCTTAGCTTCGACGAACTTGAACCCCACCATTGGCATTTCGAGGCTAGCGGAACGTACAAATTACAGATTTATTTTTGTTCAAATTTTTCGTATCTATGAGGCGTGCGTGTTACTGTAGCAGTTTAACGCAAAACATACGTATGTTTGTTCTGACAGAAACACTTCATGATTTATTTGAGTTCCTCTCAGAATGTAGTGATACATGTGCGATCTGCGCTTCTTACCGCTGTCATTATGAAGACTTCTACGAGTATCTCAGGCTTGCTACCTGTTTCACGCTCATTTCTTGCTTGGCTTATTCTTCGGCCCTGAAGCTGGGTGCAGCATGTTCTTGACTTTCAGCGGGTTACACGTAATATATCCGAAAAGATAGAGCACTTCAACATATGCATACTGTGTACGAATAAAGGTCTGTTTATACCCGTGGGTTACGTCACGTTATCAACAATGCAAAGGCAATAGCTCCTAGACATCCCTGAATCTAATTTCCGTTCTTGGGCAATGACGTCGCTGGTGGTGGGCAAGTTTACTTACGCTTCGGAGAATCTCGATAAACTCGGCTGCAGTATCATGGCTTCTCTTGTGGTGGTGTTCCCTGCGTAGTGGCTCTCTTGCGAGGTTTCATCTGCAAAATGAAAGCTACGAACACGCGCCTGTGCAGTGCTAGGCGTTTGCTAGTGCGCAGATGTGGACGCTTCCGATGATGTAATGATGGGGAGCTAAAGCTTTGCCTTACTTGTGGTCAAAGCGGCCTCCGTAGTCTAGAGGTAACGTTCCCACCTCATGACTCGTAGTACGCGGGGTCAAATACCCGGCGGAGGTCGTCGAATTTTTAAGGGCGGAAAAATTCATGGAACGAGTCCTCCGGGAGGGACTTTAAGCCGTGGGTCCCGTGTCGTAGCTTTACGGCACGTAAAAGAACCTCATATCTCCAAAGGAGGTTACTGAGCCAAATTGCGGACGTTTCCCGCCCAACAGCAGTCTCTAATACCTGTGGTAGATGGGGGATGCATTATAGATACCTCTCAGCTAGTAGAGCCGGTCTCGCTGGCTGGGCGGGACTGATGGTAAGTACCAATACCTGTAGGATATAGAGACTGGTAGAAATCATAGAGGGAAGCACAATGGACCAATACAGGTCTAAGTGCATGGGGAAACCCACCCTCTCCAAATAACTAACTAACTAACTAACTAACTACTTGTGGTCAACGGTCCCTCTAAGCTGGGCACGAAAGTACGCAAGCCATGATAACTTCTGAGCAGCAATTTGGTTGGCTTGCTCAACCCGGGGCAGCGACTTTATAAAAAGGTCCATAACACATTAAATTTATGAGCTCCCAAAAATAACAAAAAATATAGTTTGTTTTTTCGGTTTTATTTTTATTAATTCAAATGGGCTGTATACTGTAGCATGTTGACCCATTGTTAAGTAATTACTTTGTAAACAGCGCCGGTTGCTAGGCAACAGATCCCTAACACGCACCAAAGGACTAACTGGGTAGCGATGTTCTCTACGCTCTGCGTGCGACAGTGGCGTAACGCAGCAATAGAACTATTGAGAACGGTGTTTACTATGCCGTCCGTGCCGAGGTATTATAAGCAGAACAAGTCTATAGAGTTTAGCCAGTTTGGACAAGTCTAGACTTTAGCCAATTGTCCCATGTGGAGGCGGGGTCGAATACCTCCACCGTAGCCCTGCAAGTCTCAGACTCTAGACCCTGTCCATAAAATGTGGGAACCTCGACGTCTCACAACCCTATGAGCCTCCATGGTCTGTTTTTTTCTGTTTCTGTATAGAAGTACCTGTGTTGAGGCGGAAACTCCAGCGGTAAAGTGGCCAGGCCTCTTGGGATTCCGTTTTAAGTACAGTTTCGCCATCTTTACAGAAATGACAGTCATGGACCACGCAGATTGCTGTCAGTGGAGCATATTAGATGTTGGTAACGTCACATCGGCGGTATTGATTTGTTGCAGATCAAACAGTACGAGAAGCTGGAGTGTGTGGAGGAGAGGAGGAAGTTGGCACGAGAAATATACGACAATTTCATCATGAAGGAGCTCCTGGCGCATTCGCATGTAAGTAGCTGCCCTACGTTTTCTGATGGAGGACCTACCGAGGACTTTGTTGTTTGCCGAAGGAAACGATTAATACTTCGGTTAAGAAACCTTCTGTAAAAGTCGTTTGTCTCGTACTGTATGGTTTCGGAATTTGGGCGATAGTCGTCTAGAATACTATGATATGAAGAGATGTTTATTCAAAATTTTCCTAGGGAGATATTCATCTATACCGACCGAGCGACCGCCGTTTGTCGGCGAAGTTAGTGGCAACTTCAGCTGTTATGGGGTGTCGCGTGGTCAGTGCAACGATTCCCCACGGCCGTTAGTTTCGGTGTTCCAGACCGGAGCCGCTATTTCCTTGAAGTAGCTCCTTAGTTGTCCTCACGAGGCTGAGTGGACCCCGTTCCAGACCCACTACTTCTCAGAAAATCTGGTAGCGCCGGGAATCGAACCCCTGGATCTCCATCCAGGAACTCGGACCACTAGACCACTTCGGAACCTGCTACATCTCAACGACGTGTAGTTACCGTAATTATCTTATAGCCTGTTTGAAATCCGTTTCTCTGTCAGTTTGATTCTCGACTATTGCCGGTTTTTAGCATCTTTGGCGGTTCTGTGGACAGCCAAGTGATCACATATTCACCCAGTACGTCCAGCTGTACTCAGAAAACAGCTCAAGAACTGTTGGACATATCGTATTTTCAGTAAATTTGATATGCGATAATTTTACAAAGTATTATCGAGACATCCAAATTTTCATTTAGATGTGACTTGTTTTACGACTATTTTACACGAGGACCTATATAAATTTAAATTCTTTCTCTTATACTATTGACCTTGACTGTGGTACCTTTGAAACGAAATCGATTGTTTTTCGGTAGACCATTGTTGGTCCCTGAGTGTACAGGTACAAGCAAGGACTTGGTGCACATTCTGTGATCATTTGGACCTCTAGGACTCGTACCGTTATTTATTTTTATTTAGGGGGGATAGTCGCCATAAAACACTGAAATTTAATGAAAAGCATTGGAGCCGTTTTCCAGTAAACTGAAGTTTGGTTTTCGGGCCCATATCATATGTCCATGTTTTCTGAGCTAGAATGTATTTATGAACTTTTAGATATGGGTAAAACCTGGCCAGCAGTTTAGACGGTATCGATAGACACATACATACAAAGAGATAGCATTCGAGAAGCCACTTTTTCTTATNGACCCGGGGGGGGGGGGGATGCTGAAAACTTGTGAATCCATCAGAATGTCAAGATCTATTTTCTTCGCCGTCACAATCCCTTTTCATATATATGCTGTGTTTATGGGAAAGTAAAAATGAAATGCAGGAAGTCTAAATTGAGTTTGTATTGTGTTATGATCTTTTTTCTTCTTTTAATGCAGTGATTTTGCTCTGTTACATACAGTGCGTCTTCAAAGCGTAGATGAAAGGTTTATATCCATGTAACTATCAGTTGAGTCTGTAACAGTGCTAAACACTGAAGTCTTAATCCTGATTGTTTATTCATTTAGTTGACTTATATAGGTTTGACTTATTGCCTGTTTATCACCACAGAAGAGTGAATAGTTCTGTGAATTTAATGTGTGTATTTTAATGAGGGAAGATTTCATGGTAGTTAATTGATTTTTTTAAAATTCACTCTGCCGAATTCGCGGGCAAGGTGTACAGTGTATACACTTCTACAGTCCTGTTTACATACAAGGAGCTATCTATATCTCTTGCTGTTGTGTTGCCTGGCATTTGTTTACTGCCTCAAGCAATCATTATGTGGAACCACGGCACTAAACGGTGGAAGGTTTTCACTGCATGTGTCTAAACCGTAAAAGTAATAGTAATTTTGGGGTGAGGGCAATTGGAATACGCGAATGTACATAACATTGTCATAATTAATATGTAATTCATTATATCAGTACCGATTGTTTTAAGAAAGCGGGTGTGAAGAACGGGTGCTTTTGCTAGCATTTCATGCACGTGTTTCATGATTTCGTTGACTCTTGTATGAAGAGCAGTGTAAGAAGTAACTGCCGACTTTTCATACAGAAAGCACCAAACAATCAAATTAAAAAGAAACGAAAAGCATATTGTCACATTCTCTTTGATTACAACCTGTTAGTTAGACTTACTAAAACTCGTCCTTTGTAGCATGATTTAATTCCTAAGAAGCCTTTAATTAGCAAAAAAATCGTTTTAACTTATATATTGTAGCGTGTAGATCCGTTTGCTAGGTAATGGCCCTTACACACGCAACGGAGGAACGCGTCACGTCCACGGTGACGGCACGCAACAATAGAACATGCTGCAAGAGGTGTTCTCTGTGGATACGCTCCGAGGCTATATCACTCGGCCTACCGAGTTCGGTTAGTGAATGCAGTGCACAGTGGAGTGAAGCGAATTGGTTGGTGAGCAGTCAGTCAGAGGACTGCTGCGGTTAGGTCGTTGTGAGCTGTTCTTTTTAGAAGCTGGTAGCTGAGGCACTGGGATAGTTCGGTAACTTCCGCCTTTGGAAGCCGCTACTGAGCAACCGCTCAGTGATTTATAAAGTGTAGCCGCGAGTTGTATAAGAGTCCAGTGAATTCAGTTGCCAATCAAAACCCTGTCATATAGTCACACTCATACACGTGACAACTGCTGTCAGAAGTGGTTGAATTGGAAACTGCATTGGATCGTTATACCGCTGTATTATGGAGTCGGAACAAGTGATGGCATGCCTGCTGACTGAAATAAGAACCAACCAAGCCAAGACGGACGCCAGTCAGAAGGAAATGAAAGAAGAAATAAGGGCCGACCAAGAACTCCCGAAAGAAGAAGAACTGACCAGGATGGAAACCCATCAAGGAAAGATGGATGCCAAGATAGACGCCACTCAAGAAAAGTTGGAAGCCAGGATAGACGCCAGTAATGAGAAGTTTTGTGTCCTTCGAGGCACTGTCGTCTCGTGAGTGGATATCCATCAAGGGAAGATGGAGGCCGCAATACACTACATCCAATCCGGGAGACCATCAAATATCGGCTGGCAGGTGTCCTGTCGTGTGTCGACTGAAAGATACAGGGCCTCCGCAAGGAACTGACCGAGAAGATTTATGAAACAGGTGGACCTACGGGCAGTAAAGACGTCCTTCGATACGCGGACGAAGAGCCTCCAGGAAATCCCAGCAGACGTGAGGAACGACTTCCACGAAGAGGCACGGACAATGAAGGCAGAAATAAGGATCAATCAAAAAAAAGGGAGGAAGCCAAGATTGAGGCCACCCGACTCGAGTTTCAGGCAAAGTTGAAAAGAGTCGAGGCCCGGACCGAGCGCGGCGAAGCCACATCATCGGCCTTGTTCCGGCTCCAGTTCGAAACCGTAGTAGAACACTACTGCTGGACGCATCAGGAGAAATCCACATACTTGATCAACGCCTTGCAGGGCCGGGCCACCGACGAGCTGTACGGAGTCCCGAAAGAAGCGACCTTTGAAAATGTATCTGTTAGTTTCATCATGATACCTCCTAATTGCTGTGTACTATGTATTATATCTGTTCTTGTAATTTAGTTTCTTTACATTTGTATTGTTACGTGATAAGTGACTGTAGAATGGGTTTGGATTGGTAGTCGAATTTATTGGACTCTTAAAACTCTTAAAGGTCTTCTAAGAAAGACCATTTCTCACTCCCACTGGGCTCACGAACTACACTCCGTCACCGCCGACTGAAGACTGTACTCCTGTGCCCATGCCCTTTCTCAGACTGCTAGCCACCGCCGACTTCTTGATTCGACTCGAACTGTCAAGTTGTGGCAGACTGTCAGCCAGTCCGTCTTAGGGTCTCACTACAAGATTTTAGTTGCTGTTGTTAGTTTGGGTTTTGTCGATGTGATGCGCCCGCTCTGACGGACAGAGGTTGTCATTTGTCGGCCACAGTCAGCGGTACTGTGGCAATTGTCAATATCTGCATACTATTTACAGTTTTACATGTGTAATACACAGTCCAGTAAAATGCATATTTATATACAATATACATATATGAGGCCTCTGTCAGTCCAGACTGAGACCAGATCATCGTAAAGGTAAAGACGGTAAAGTTGTCCCTGTGCTTAAATGCTTAAGCACTACTCCATGAAGGCGTATGGTGGAGTGGATGGATAGATCCACATATTCTTGACCTCGGCACTAGCTGGAGGTGAGTGGTCAGCTTCACGCCCCGGCCGCTCTACCCCCGGGGAAAGAACCCCCAGTAACCATTGGATAGGAGGTTAGGTGGACCCCAGAGCCGGTCTTGACCCAATCGGGACTCTAACTCTGTCCAGCCCGTAGCCAGTCGCTACACCGACTGCGCTAAGTAGCTCACGGTACCACGGCAGCCTAGTCACATGAACGGTTGTATGCTTTACCGCCGCCAAGCTTAAGCCTCTTATATTTTATGTGTCGGGCTTCGCCTTCTCCAATATTGCGAATATTTGCATTTTCATGATTTTTATATGTCTTATTTTTTGTTTCCTGCATAATTTTGCGGTGTAATCATAAGTATACGGTATATTGAAAGCCTTATGAAATTCGCGGATCAGTATGCGCCTTGGAAAATTGTCATTGGTGCGGAGAAACTTGTTTTGCAAGCGCTGCAATTTCATTAGATTGGTATCTTCCGCAAATTCCCAGGCAGTGCAAGGATAGGTCATTACAGACCTAATGAGTGCTTTGTGGAGAGCTGATTTAATGTTAGCGCTTAGTCGCTCACTTTGGAATAGGGAGTAAACTCTAATAAATGTTCCGAAAGCTTAGGCTCGACCATTTCTGTGTGCAGTCTCCATGTAGTTTTCCTGTCGAAGATTGTACCAAGCTATTTTACGCTATTTACAAATGGAATGTTCCTTCCATTCATTGTAGGATGAGACTAGCGATCTGTGTCTACGAGAAAGTAGATTGCCAGTGCCTTTTTCTCATTGATCCAGCTCTCACACCACATCCCCATTGAGCTGAGACCGCGCTGCAACTTTCTGATAGCAAAACCCTCCTTGTAATATTTCGCATGCAGGCACGTGCCGTCGACAGAGAAGGCTAGCTGAACACCAGGTGCTTGAAGGGGCATCATTTATGCACAACCTGTACACTGTGAAGGACAGGACAGATTCTAGAAGCCTCCATGCTTGCATTTTCCTTGGCGTAGACATTTCGCCTTTGCCGAAAATTTTATTTGCGAAAGAAAAGCTAACAAACTTGTTCAAACTGGTTGAAAATTCCAATTTAGATAATTTATATAGCAAGACAGCGTGCCGTGTAGTATCAAAGGATTTTTCAGTTTCCAAGAGTACTGCCGCCGTAGACATATTATTGTTGAAACTAAGTGTCACGTCGTTCGCAAATCTCATAAATTGAATTGTGCTGCGACATTCACGGAATTCAGAGTGGTTTGCATTAAGCAGGCCACTTTCTTCAATATGCCTTTCGACAATTTATAGTACAACTTCCCCAAATAGCATGCCGCCAAGAGGCTAATCGGATGTGTATTTACGGGGTTTATGTAAGGTTATCATTTTTGCCTCCTTCCAAGACGTCGGAAAACGTGAAAGCCGAATACAGTGATTAAATAAATTCATGCCAATGGCGCCCTTGGAATGTGCCTGAGGCATTCATTTGGAATGCCATTTGTACCGCAGGCCTTTGGCAATTCATTTGGAATGCCATTTGTACCGCAGGCCTTTCGCAATTTCAAGGAATTTATTAATTTCTGTATATCAGAAGGCCTGATTTTGTCAGGGGGTCATTGTCTGCAGCTTCGAACAGAGCTTGAGCCCTGTACTCCACCCACCATTCATGGTTGTCGTCACACAGGTCGTGGGGTGTGGGCTGGTTTTCCAGCCAGTCAGCAATTGCGTTAGTTTTCTCTAATGGATTAAATTTGAGGTCTGCGGGACTATGAATAGTAGTATTTGGTGCCTTTTTTTCCATCTCTCTTTAGGAGGAATTTTGCAATGGGTCATGTAGCCAGAGGCGTGACTTCAGAGTTACATATTTTATTTTCCCACCGATCAAGTGCATTTTTACCGGTCATTTATCTGATTGTTTTCGCGACTCAGTTAACTCCCGTTTTATGCTCTGGATCCCTAGTTTCATTTCACAGTTTTCTAGCCTCTGTTGTGTTTTAGCAAGCAATCTAAACCAGGGAGATCGTTGATTGGGTTCGAAACGGTAACCTTACTGGTTGACAACCTATATGCCAAAGCAGTGGAGGCTGTAAAGTTGCCCGCCTCTGTATCGGTTTCCCTGAGTTAATTTTCGATTCTGTGTGACATTAAATCAGAGGCAAGTCCTTGAAACATCTGACAATTTGATATTCTGAGGGACCACAATGTCGAGTATGTCACCATTTCCCGCATTAGAGTAATGAGTGGGGCATTATGGCGCTGAAGTTTCGAATTCATTTGCATCAAATCCAAAACATTCACTCCTGAAGGGTTTGAAACTGCACTATTCCAAAATGGATGTTTGGCATTCCGATCACCTGCCAATATAGTTATGTTTAAAGCTTAAGGGCTCATTAATGTCCCCATCACTCCAAACATGGCCCAGAGATTTATAAACAGCTGCAAGTGATACTTGGCTATTGGCAATAGGTATGAAGACCCCTGTTGCTTCTACTGTTGGCCTACATGGGTCTGGGAGATGCCTCTCTGACTGCAATGGTAGTTCCGCCTCTTCTGCCCTGGAAACAGTCAGTCGGATAGAAGTGATAATTTGGAATAAAGAACCTCTCACGAGGATTGCTGTCTTCTGGGATGTGGCGTCATGTAGATATTTTGCTAACCGACGTTTTGGAGGAAAGTATCACCTCCATGTTCAGGGTATAAGATATCTGCATGCGATGAACCAGCGTGAGCAGGTGTAGACACTACATGAAGCAAAGAGCGAGCAGACTACTCTTTTTTTCTGCTTATTTGGTTGCTCCACACTGCGTGCTTGCTTGCTTGGCTTTCTCTTTGGCCCTGAAGTTGGAAGTATTACATTCCTCCAGAATATTAGTGTGCTTTCGTCAGATCACTCAGCCTCACATCCCAGATTGTCACATATTTGTGATTGAACACAGGGTTTGGATCAGAAATTGGATTTATCTATTAACTCTTATAAATCATCACTACAAGTAATTATAGCACTCTTGTCAATTCGACTTCTCACTGCAACACACACCAAGTCTTCTGCAGGCAATGAATCCCAGCAGTGCCCTCTTCTGTTCACATCATTACCAGCTGGCAACTGTCTTGCAGATAACTCACAGCTCCAACTATCTGACTCTCAGCTAACTTGTCCCATTGGTTCTCATTATATAGCCTCAGGTCACACGGCACAGAAAATACTGTCTCCAACAGTTCTTCTGTTGTTGCATGTTTATTCTTTGCATAGCAGTGGCTCACTTGTTTGATGATGTAATAGCACGTTTACTGTGCTGTTGCCTGGCAACAGATATTCAATCATGTCACAGTATGGTAGTCTTTGTGGATGTATGTCCTTAAATTCACAGGTTGGATCTGCAAACAGAAAGTTTAAATATTGTTCAGATTGTGTTTGCTGTATTAAAGGTTCATGGGAGTTGGAATGTAAAGCATTAAGGAAGAAACAGAACTCTGTAAATTAATTTTATGGATAATCAAGCACTGAATTAACTAGATTCTTAGCTTTTTTAATTTAAATGGTAGGAAAGGTCAGGCTCTCTTCATTCCCGTGCATTATTGTATACTTTCCTGTAATTGGACAGTTTAATGTATTTTAGCCATTAAACTTGATTTTAATGCTGAGTATAAAAAGTACCTTTGCTTCTTTGATCATTTGTTCACATTCCAATGATGTATGAGGAAGGTTATGAACTGGTTATTGTCAGAAGTTAAGACTGTTTTACATGAAACTGTGTAGCACACAGAGAGACAAACAATTTGATACTTAATACCTACTTTACGCTGTTTTCATCTTCTTTTACAGGATTATTCAAAAGATGCCGTGGCACATGTACAGAAGTTTTTAATGAAGAATGAAGTTCCTGTTAATTTATTTGAGGTAAGTATAAATTGAAGCGTAGGTGGGTGGACAATATTAAAATGGATCTTAGAGAGATAGGATGGCATGGTATGGATTGGATAGATCTGGCTCAGGATAGGGACCAGTGAAGGGCTCTTGTGAACACGGTAATGAACCTTTGGGTTCCATAAAATGCTGGGAAATTCTTGAGTAGCTGTGGAATTGGCGGCTCCTCCAGAAGGGCTCAGCTCCATGAGTAAGTAAGTAAGTAAGTAAGTAAGTAATAAATTGAAATCGATTTTTGTGAATATGCCTGTACTTTGACATGTGATATTATATACAGTACTTCCAAAATGTAATTTATCTGCTCCTGTTTGTTTCTAGCCATACATTGAAGAGATTTTCAATCATCTGAGAGGGCAGCCTTTCAAGAAGTTTTTAGAAAGGTGAGATTGAAAGTAAAATTAAATCATGAGTGTAGGAAAGTTAACAGATTGGATAGGTTAGGTGAAAGAATGGGGTTTCCATGTCTAGCAGTGTCATAACCTTTGAGCTGTATCACATTTCAGTGAAACAGAATTTTACTTGAAGTGAAGGAATTTCTAAGGAACTTCAACAGCTACACATACACATATTAAGCCAACAACACCACCATCAAGCATGATCAGTTGATTTAGTCAAAAAGTCAATTGTATTCTATTAAAATGTGTGTGTACACTTCTAGGAGATTTAATTTGAACAGGCAAAATTGCATTATGAATCACCTATATATTAAATGTTGTTTTCTAATCTGGCAGTTCATTCTCTTTATGAAGACACTGCTACAGATGATCTTCATGGGATATAAACAGTTTCTAGATTATGAATGGGGCCTGAAAACTATATAGCATGATCCTGTACATCTCATGATGTAGCATAGATGGATCATTTTTTTATTATTATGTTAAAGACATTGTCTGCATCCAGCTGAGCTTAGTGACCTGAAATGTTAAGTTATGAAACCACTGCATCATCTGAAGAGATAATCTTGTGGGGGGAGAGTCTGGGATGACTTGCTTCATCACTTACTTGTTGTGAGAGTTGTTGACAGACCTTGCATTTAGTATATTTGACACTTTTTAAACTGAGTTCCAGTTTTCTTTGGTACTGCCATGACTTTTGTAGAAGTGTTGGCTTGCTCAGTATTGATTTAAAAGCTTAAACTATGAAGTCTCACTTATTCACAGTAATGGACAGAAGAATAGTGCGTTAATTAAAGGCCATGGTTGATCCAAACATCTGGAAATACCCACTATCCATACTGCATTATATCCTGAAAATCATTTCATTAATACTTCCCAGTCAGTAAACAGCGAAACAGATGTCTGTCCATTAGAAGAGACCAGCCCGTCCTCAGTGGTAGAAAAGGGTGAGAGAGGAGCAATAAAATAATAAAACAGAAAGTTTGCAACAAAGGGAGAAGATGTACATTGTACTGCTAATCACTGTAAAGCTTTCATGATGAATATTGCTGACACTGATGTACTGAGCAGCATGTAACTAATTACATCATTACATGAAGCTGTAATCAATAATGAAAGGGTTCCAAAAATCTGATGATTAATCAGCAGAGAAAATTATCCATGTATGGATAATAAAGGGTCTACAATACTTCATTTCTCATAACCCTTAACATTATTTGAAGGAGAGTGATAGGACTTGACAGATACCTATACTGTAGAGAAAGGACAACTCGCATATTTTATCTTTTTTGGGTGGGAATGGAAGTATTTTCCACAGTCATTTCATTATGTATGTTCACACTGTTGATGAGTAACCAGATGTCATTCTTGTACCATAAGTCATCTCTCAGGCAGGTCACCCTTTTTGACCTGAATATGTAATTTGTTCAATTTAAATATGTATAGACTACAAATGTAAATGTAGTTCAGTGTCACAAGCAACAGACAACAGTGTGAATTTTAAATGTTTCCTGTGGTCACATGATGTGAATGCTAGTGACATGTATGGAGGAAATACAGTTTATTGTATTGTTAACTGTATGAGGTAGAACAAAGTTTACAGATTGGTGAAAAGCTTTAAAGAAAGATGGACGGATTTTGTTGATGGTGTGTATGTGTGTGTGTGTTTTGAGTGGGCGTTTTTAATATATGCAGATCATCCAATGGATCTGAGACATTGCAAGAATCAGCATAGATGATATTCCATATGAAATGAGCGTTAGTCATCGATAGACATGGTGCAGGAACAGCTGAAAGCAAACTGAAAACATTCTGTTGTTATGGAATCCGGAAACTGGTGCACCATTGGACCCCTTTTTTCCTGAAAAGCAAAATTTTTTTAGAGAAATAATATATGTATTAGCTTCTGTTTGAATGTTCTGTCAGAACCTATAGTAAAGTTTCCTCCAATTTTTTTACTCATCTTTGGAGCACTCCTGCTTCAGATGTAGAAGATGCCTTTCCCCCCCTCCCCCACATCTGAAGGATATTCTTCGTGGACTTTTTGTAACTGCAGGGGTTATAGTTAGATGAAATGACCCACACACTGTCAAGTGCTCCCATCATCATACATAAGTGTCCTCACATCCCTCCACTCACAGCACACCCTTCTGTGGTACCTCCTAAGAGGTACCCACCCATTTCATCTGCTGTTTGAAATAGCCATGAACCTTAATTACCATTTCTATGGTTTGTCTTTGTAAGATTGAATGCATAGTTCACTGGTTTTTCGTTTTCAAAATTACATTAAAAGTGGCTGTCACTAATACTACACAACTCACTGTATAGTAACAGCCTACTTTGCGACATACTGTACGCAACACATAGATGGATGTACCAGGTAGATCTGATATGAACTGATGCTTATTCAGTTGGACAGAGCACATGGCAGACATGCCACTGCACACCCAAGTTAACCCGTCAACTTTCCCGCCAATTTCTTTAGTGCCACTTTAAATAAGTTAGAAAATGTACACATAGTGTAACAGTTTTGTTTAACTGCATTGTACTCCTGATTATCCATGATAGCAAAAGGGAAAATATGCACAATTAATTGAAAAACATGGCTGAATCAAAACTGGAAGACTGTGGTTGAGCTTAGAAATTCAGAAATATACACATAGCATCTGATTTGTGTAATTAACTTCAAAACCATAAGACTAATGAAAAAGTATATTGAGTATAAAGTGTTTCATTTTTCTGTACAATTTTTTCCCACCCACAGTCAGTTATCATATTACACTCAAGATGTACTAACATATGTATATTGTCATGGAAACTGTCTGTTTCTTCTGACAAGTTTTAACCAAAGTTGCAATTTGTGAGCAAATTTTACTAAAACTCCACAGTTCCAACTTCATGAAAATCCATTCAGTGGTTCTCTAGTTGTTTCATTGATGGACAGGCTGAGTGTAATTAATAGGCACCCCACGTGGTTGTGAATGCGCATTAAAATGTGCACAGATAAGCTGCAAAGTGGATGGTCTATGCATGGATAATTGGAAATATACTGTATGTGAAACCATAAGACACTGAAGAAGTTTATTTGACATAAAATATATTTCATTTCACCTTCAGATGGAAACATCAGATATAAATTGATATGAATCCATGTTGTTAACCATAAAGGACAGTAAAGAATAGATATATTGGGATTGAAGAGGGAGAATACCCAAAGTTATGAACAGTTGCCTACAAGAATCTCTGCTGCCGATACCCATCACTATTCTGAGTGCCCTCTTCTGCACGCGGAACACGTTAATAGCATATGAGGAATTTCCCCAAAACATGATGCCATAATGCATGATGAAATGAAAATAAGCATATTAGACCATCAACAAAGTTTCCAAATTAATGTAAGGCTTGACAGTTCTAATTGCATAACAAGAGGTGCTAAGTTTTGGTAAAAGTTGATCAATATCTTTCTTCCAGGGCAATGTGTTGGTAATACTGATGCCTAGGAACTTTGTGTGACATGAATCAGATAACTCCTTATTACCATATGCAATTTTTATATGATTATCTTGTTCATAAAACCTTTTTGCTGCAAATATAATATACTCTGTTTTAGAGAAATTTAAGGATAATAAATTGATATTGAACCACATATTTAAAGTTTTGAAGACTTCATCTAACTTGTTACGAAAAATAGAGGGATCGAATTCACTTATGATAACACTGGCATCATCAGCAAAAATGATAGAGGGAGAGATCTTGTTTAATACCAAAGGAAGATCATTAATATAGATCAGAAAAAGTAAAGGGCCCGAGATGGAACCTTCGAGAACTCCATGAGAGATATTACCCCAATCAGAGCAAATATTCAGATTGTAATTGCAGTCTTGTTCTTTGAAATCTTCCTTGTAAGTATGGTGCTGTTAGTTTGAGCGTTAACCCCGAGATACCATAAAATTCCAGTTTGGATAACAAAATCTTATGGTTAACACAGTCAAAGGCTTTTTCAAGATCGCAGAATATTCCTCCCACATTATATCCCTCATTCAAAGCCGTCAATATCTGATCTAACAATCTATAATTGGCATTATTAGTAGACAGATTAGTCCTAAATCCAAATTGCTCTTTGACCACTATATTGTTAATGACCAGATGTTTATAAAGTATATTATATATCACCTTCTCAAATATCTTTGAGAAGGAAGTCAAGAGCGATATAGGTCTATAGTTACTAATGATATTCTTGTCACCTTTTTTTTTTTGTATATGGGTTTTATTTCAGCAAATTTTAGGTGATCTGGAAATATGCCAGTGGTTAGCGACCCATTTGTTATATAAGTTGATGGCGAAACAATGTAGTGAATACTGTTTTTCAGAATTTTTACAGGAATTTCATCATAACGATAAGAATTTGTCATTTTCAGTTTATCAATAACATTTACAATTTCACTAGTATGGACCGGACTATATCTGTTGATAGGGAAAGTTACATTTAGGGTAGCAGATAAATAATAATTGAAAGTGTAAGATATGAGGCTTTCACGGCGGTGACTATGAAGAAAGCAGTCTTCTGGGATTTGGCACTGTGTATATGTGGTACACGGTGCCAAATCCCAGAAGACTGCTTTCTTCAATAAATGAAAGTTTTTACATTATCAGTGGGATTACAATTATTAAAATTACTTGATATATTAGTAATTATTGTATTTGCTATAGATAAAAAATGTTCATAGTATCAAAAAAGGCTATAGAGAACTGCCCTAAGGCAATGGAGCAAGTTCATGGTAGTTTATGATCTGTTAACTGAAAGTGTCGCCTCATGGATGAAAGCAGTCATCCATGGAAAGAACACCAAGAAGCCTAAAATGAATTAATGAATTCGTTAATTCTTTCAATGTAAACTATTATTTGGACCTACCAGTTAGATGAAGTGCAACACTCGTGTCCCCTTGCCATATGATTTGAGGAATAGTGTTGAATTATGGTCCATTGAAGGTTTTCCTGAAATCGACATCCTGAAATGAGAAATAGTTTCACATGACAACACACTCCTCCTGTCCATGGTTACGATATTCATTAAGCTGAAGTCCTTCTAAAGCTTCTGCTCAATGATCTGTGCCAGATTTCGTTTTCCTGGCATCTTTAACAGCATAGGGAAACTGAGTATTCTGTAAATTTCTTTCATTCCACAAATCTTGAAAATCATAAATTCTATGATGTTGCTTAATTGCTCAAGTGTTCTTCCCCTTCCAACAAGAGAGTTGGCCACTATGCAGGCTTCAGTAAGTTAAACATTGATAGTAAATTTATGTATAATTCATCATCATTGCTGTTGCTATGCTGCTGCATGGCCTGTTGCTAATGACATTTATAACAGTTTGAATCAGTATCAAAGAGGTAATGTAAATTTTTCTTAAAGACGTTCTAGTTTGAAAAACACACTACTGCAGTAAAATGGATTAAGAATGAGAAAGTTAAAATTTTTTTTGTGAATATTCATTGTATATTTTGTTATCGACTTCTGAAGCTACTTGCAGGTCATGATGTTACTGAATGGGATGGGGAGCATACAATTTGCAGTATATGAATTTTTCACCATGCCTACCAGAAGAAATGGTGAAACAAAATATATCCTCCAATGTGTAAAATACTGAAAAGTAGTACATAAAAGGCATTTAAATGAGCTGTGCAGATAGCATCAGAATACTATGAATTTAAATGCAAAAAGGTTAAGTTGCTGTATAAAGGTTACTTGCAGCATGGTGAAGTGTACTGTCATTGTTATGGGTACAGTGAACTGTATTAGGATTGTTATAGGCCTTGTGAACTCAGTCATGGTTGCTCAGTGTGTTATAAAATGTGTCAGGATTGTTTAGGGCTCAGTGCATGGTGTTAAGTTGGGGAGATGAATGTATGAATGTATTAGGGGTGGGCCTTCTTGGCCCTTGCACCGTGACCACGGTGATCTATTGTGCCTTAGGTTGGGGAGATAGTGTGGATCAGAATATCAGACTTCTAGGAGAGAGCAGTTGCAAGAGCTTGGCATTGAATCAGGAAGAGTAAAAATGGCTTTTGAAGAAGGTCAGGGCCCAGACACAGCTCTCGAGCAAATGATGATTCTTCATCATCATCATCTTCATCTATATCAGGATTTCTTACTGCTGGCTGAAATGTTATCATGTTCCCTTAGGGCTTGCTGAGCTGTATCAAAATTGTTTGTTGCCCATTGAACTGTTTTGGGGTTGTTAAGAGCCTGGTGAACTGTATTAGGATTACTTTGGGCTCATTGAGCTGCAGCAGGACTCTTTATCTTACAAAAGTCATTTGTCTGTGCTCACAGAGGATATAATTAATCACAGTGTGTGACTGTGGCATTGGTCATCGAATGCCCTCAATATATCAAACAGTAATGTTCATTATCATATCTGCATACTGTCATATTTTGTATAATTGTAGAAGCCTTTGAGCAGTATTTTCTGGAATAGTTAATGTACAGGAAAGGGAATGAAATGATGGAAGGATGTACTTATAAAATGGATAGGAAAGAAGCGCAAGAGGAAGGAGATATGTAGAGAGTAAGAACAAGTAATGGATATAAAGCAAGATGTGAAGAATGAAGTACTGAAAAGAGATTCTGTTCCCCGGGAGACTAAACCTGTGCAGTTCCTAAGTTCATCACCAGATGACAGGATATCTTGACATTCTCTCTTGTTTTTCCAGTCCCTTCAGTAAAATGCTGAGTTAGCTTTCTTTTAGCGTCATCTCTGTTTTATCTGAGCCAATGAACAAAAGGTCTTCAGTCTCTTCCATATTTCACAGTATGCCAACTTGACAAAGAGCCATAATGTCACGACAGCTTTATTCCTCATCCATCCCATAATATTCCAGTTACGGTCTTGTATCGAATTACGTTCCCAGTTGATACAGTTCACCTAAGAAGTACATATTCATAAAAGAATGAGTGTGCATGCATGCATGCGTGTGTGCCTGTGCACATCTGTGTGAGAAGGGGAGGGAGGGCACATGCACTCAGAAATTCGTTAGTACAAGCACCAAAAGGTTGTCCTCATGCATTATTGCAGTCTCGTGATTGTGTTAGCATTCAAAAAATTATTTTTAAGCTGTATTTAATCTGTTTTTTCCATTGATATTCCAAGATATATTACATTAGTTAAAATTATAAGGTGCTCATAAGCAAGGTATTTATTGTGGGGCATAGTACAGAATTAATATTCAGTTTACCACCTCTGAAAAAGTAACTACAATGTAATGAGTGTGAAAAATAGAATTGATTTATTATTGTAGAATAAGATTTGACGACAGTTTAGTGATGGTAAAATACAGCTGTGTGCACAGAAAACTGTTGAAGTATAAATTTTCAATTACTACTTTGAGTTGAGTGTTAGTCTTTTTTACAGAGTTGAATCTCTGAATTTCTATAAGCACCCCCTGTAAAAATAATTTTTATTTACATCCAGAGCAAACAGTCCTTTTGAAGGCTTTGAGCTTATGAAGAAATAAAAATCAGTTTAAATTTATTTTATATATATGTAGTTGACAATACTTGTAATGTATTTTAATACCTTATATAAAGGTATGGGGGGGCACGCAGTAGCATAGTTGGTCAAAGCACTATTCTACATGCCAAAAGGTCATGGGTTCAATTTCCAATGAGATCATTGAATTTTTTCAACTTATCTAATCCTTCCAGCCACAGTATGGCCCTGGGATCGTCTCAGCCTCTAACAGAAATGAGTACCAGGAAGATTCCTGGGGGTAGAGGGTGGCCGGTGCATAAGGCTGACAACCTTACTGCCATCTCTTAGCTGAATGTCTAGAAGATATTGGAGCCTCGACCTCCCACTCCCCTATGGGCCTTCATGACCTATTACAGGGACAGCTTTACCTTTACTTTTTTTATGTAAAGGTATTGTTATAAAGAGGGTTGAAAAAAGGTAAAGCTATCCCTGTAACAGGCCGTGGAGGCCTTTAGGGTTGTGAGGCAACAAGGCTCCCACATTTTCTAGACAGTCAGCTCACAGACGGCACTGAGGTTGTCAGCCGTACATCCTAGCCACCCACTCTTTACCACTAGGAAGATTCCTGGTGCTAAGTATAATCTTTTCCTGAAGTCAGGAGTTAAGCCATTAATGACAGACTGCAATTAGTATTTGAAAAAGAAAGTAAAGTTTTGTGGTTATGTGCAGCTATATGTTGATCAGAGAATATCTTGTGGTTTTTACTTCTTTTCCTTATAAGTGAAGACATGATTGTGTTCATTTGTATATTCTTATATGATTGCAGTGATAAATATACAAGATTCTGTCAATGGAAGAATTTAGAACTAAATATCCAGGTAAGAGCACTAGATTATATACATTTGAAGTATTTCAGCTTCCATATCCTGAAACAGCAGTTTAAATTGTTTTGACTCCTGTTTATAACAGTAGCTACTGCTCCCAACAGTTCTCTGTGTATTAAACAAATAAGCAAGAATAAATATCTGAATTCTTAATATTTATAAGTGTAATTAAGGAAATGCATGTCAGTACATGTAGATTTATTTAATGGCATTGGGCAAGGTGGTTTGGATAAGGTTTTTTGTATGCAATGTTATTTGATGCTATCCATCTTTAATAATGTCGGAAGTTAGTGGTTTTGAGTTCTGTCTGCAATTTTGGATGTAACACCATGTAGTCTGGTGAAGGTCAGCCGACATTTCAGAGGAACATTCATTCCACTTCCTTCTTCAGGGTCAGAGAGTAAGCCAAGCAAGAAACCAGTATCAAACAGGCAGCAGGCTGCGACTTTTGCTGGGTTGCATGGCATTGTATCACAGAAGGTACAATTCATCTTTTGGTAGTTGTTTGAAACTTCTGATTTTATAAGTATTTGCCACTGTATTGAAATTGTTCACAGGCATACACTTAAGAGTTCTGTTCTTAAACCTTAATCTCGTCAGTTGACCAGAGTTAATTCCATTTGGCATTCATCTGAATAACAGAAACAGTGGAAAAACTGTTTACATATCACTTCACTTTCCTAATAGAGTATGTGAGGAAAGATTATGGAGCAAAGTTTTCAAGTTTCTGCAAAAAGTTACGTTGCTCTCTTTGTAAGAGTTCAATTATGCAAGTTTGTGTGATATGACCTAGTCCCATCATAACAGGAATACCTTTTGGAATCAGTACCTGGATTTTGAAGAAGTGTATCTTCATCAGAAAACTTAACACTGTACTGAGAATATAGAGTGGAAACTAATGTCAAATTACCTGTAATATTTATGTGTGGAAACGGAACATGATTTCTAACAGGTAATAGTTGCTTGAATATTGTTATTCATATAATTTTTTTTGAAACTACGCTCCTTGTGATTGAATAGAGAACGAACATTTCAATCTCATTTGGTAAAAAATAAAGGTCAGTCATTAACATGCTGTTCAAAATGCTTTAGTGGATGAGAACTGGAAGAATTTATATTGAAGGACAAAAAACTAGGAAAGAAAATAAAAAGAAATATGTGTGGTTGTCAGTAACAGTATAGCATACGTAGTGCATTATTTATAATGGATTTCTGACTTTTGATTTGGATCATGAATACATGTTCTGTTCAGTACTTGATATGTGGAGTGAGAATTTGTCTGAAATGGATTCCATTATAGCACTAACACAGCAGTCACAATCCATCAGCACAGGTAGACACAACTTTCAGCGCACACAACTGGATATCATATTCCCACTGTATGCAACATGTTACATGTACATTGGTACATCATGACTGCATGTTCGCACAATGTTGTCATGCTACATAATTTTAAGCACCATATATAATACGCCAGTTTAATATATAATATTTGGAAAAGACTGTGGACCTGTCGTATGACAGATTACTGATGAATGACTATAATACGCCATAACTGTATAATTATGACATACAAGTGGTATATGGTGAATGCGTCGGAGAAAAGGTCCACAACAAAACAGACCGCATCACTGACAGCGCAAGGCAAACATATGTACCTAACCCTTGAACTGTGCTGGACACCAAGTATTTTTATATAAAGAACTTCACCAAAGACCAGCCACAATATAAGAATCCTGTTTGACTAAAATCTATGATACATGCTTAAGTGACATCCTGCAAGTCTTAATGTATTTATAATTCATGTATGTATTACTTATAATTAAATATATTAGAAATTTGACATAATTATGCATTTTATCTTAAGTGCCATAAGAGTGACACACTTGTTGGAACTGGAACCTTACTTCAAACAAAATTAAATTATAATATTCAATTCATTAATCTATATTTATTTTATTTGTAAATGTTCATTTGATGATGATCAGTATTTGATTAAAACATGTTGTGATTTGCAGAAATAAAAAAAAATAGTTGATTATAATTTTCTTAGTAGATGCAGTTATTAAGTAAACATATATGCTTATCCATATACAGTATTATCACTTACTGCATACTCTGCCTTAAACCAGTTGTTATCAGTCAACACAAATAATCACTCCACAGTCACAAACTAAGCAGCTTCTTGCAAATATTTTATCTGTAGAGTATCAGTATGAAAATACTTCCAAAGATTGCTGAACTTGAGGTTCTCACAGTGCTGACCATGAGGACTATGGGCTTCTGTGTTATAACATAGAGATAGCACAACATTCCAGAAGAACATATCACCTCCCTGTTTATTGATGAAGTGTAAGCCAAGCAAGAAATGTGTAGTGACAAGCTGGGTATAACTTGCTGGCTGCTCCTGCTGAGTCCTTGCTTGACCTATTTTTCACCCCTGAAGAGACAGGCTGCATGTTCCTCCAAAATATTCCTCCAAAATATTGGGATGTCTGTAGACTACACTTTGTTACAACTGAGTAGACCATACTCTTTGTTTCAAGGGAATATTTCCGTTTCAGACAGCATGCTCTTTGGGTGAATGGCAACAAATTTTTTGCGTTTCTAATGTTACAGGATGGATCCCTTGTCATGAAGGCCTCAGGTTGTGATAGAGAAATCTGCCTTCATAGATTGAGGGTAGCTCCATATATGCTGGATAACCAATTTCAGACAGCCAACAAAGGGTGGTACTCTATAGTAGAGTGAATTTACCGACTACACAACACGTTTTTTATTATCTCATATCACTACATGTTTCGACCTTAAAAGGTCATCTTCAGGTGTATGAACACGACTGTAAGTGTAACCAATAACATAAGTTGAACTTCAATTTACAAACCTTTAACAATAATAATAATTAAACTAGTTTAAAAAGAACTAAATACAGTAGTGAGGGTAAGTAAAATGAGACTGAAAAACAAGTGAAAGTGTAACCAGTGACATGAATTGAACTTCGATTCACGAACTTTTAACAAATAAATTAGAATGATAACAATTTTAACCTGTGTTTTATAAAAGAACTCGATATATTAGTGAACGTAAATCTGGAAAAGATACAAGGTTGAATGAGTGAAAAGTGAATGTGCCTGCGTGTAATTATGCAGCCATGTTCATACACCTAAAGATGACCTTTTAAGGTCGAAAATATAGTGATATGTGATAATAAAAAATGTGTTGTGTAGTCGGTAAATTCACTCTACTATTGATTAAACACACAACAGGATGCAAGAAATGATTAAAATTAAAAGGTGGTACTCTAGGCTGATGGGTATATAGTAGCCAAACATTCATTATACAGTATAATCAGGATGTTAGGAAATTTTACTCAGAGACATGAACGGTTTGTTTTGAATGGCTTATTACTGAGTACTAGAGTTATCTGATGGAAGTACGGTGTATTGAGGTTCCCAGGCAAGACCCCAGAATGAGTTCCAGAGGGACTGGTACAGATTGTTGACCTCCTGCATAGCTCTACCTTTCTCTAGCACTCTTGAGTATTTAAATCCTTCGCTGATCCGAATTTTCAAATGATACAAATAACAGCAAACTAAACATTTGAGTACTTGGACTATACATGCAAAGTTACGAGTCATATTTGATCTGGATTCTTGTTTTCCTTAGGTGCAGTCAAATTTGAGCTGAAAATAGTTTTGCATGCATTATTGTTCTTAATTCTGATGTTTATGATATTGCAGTTAACAATGAATGACTTCAGTGTTCATCGTATCATTGGGCGTGGGGGTTTCGGAGAGGTGTATGGTTGTCGAAAAGCAGACACTGGCAAGATGTATGCAATGAAATGTCTGGACAAGAAGCGGATAAAAATGAAACAGGGTGAAACTCTGGCCCTCAATGAGAGGATTATGTTGTCTCTAGTCAGTACAGGGGTAAGTTTATTGTCTGTAAATTTACATCCTCAGCATGCACATAATAATGTACAAATTCATGCAACTCCCACATGTTACTGGAAGAAACATTGTACCAGATTTAACTGAACACTGGTGACATAGGACCCCAGCATTTTGTGTGAAAATGCATGTTATATAAATGCTTAACTTGTTAAAGGTTTTGTGTGTGCATATGTGGCACACATTCATGTGGGCATGCATGTGTGTGTTTAAGATGTAAAAGAACTGCTTATTTGCCATGTGAAATATGTAGTTTGTGTTATGTAATAACTAATGAAGCATATGTAGCAACATATGATGATCATAAAACTACCTAGAAAGTTTATATGAAATCATTCTTCATATGCTAATATTTATGTCCAGGTAATGGTATGAAATTTTAAGTGATCATAGTCAGAACTTGANCTCCGAAACGTCGGTTAACACCACATATACACGGTGCCAAATCCCAGAAGACTGCTTTCTTCATAGTCACCGCCGTGAAAGCCTCAAATCTTACATGTTTTGCACTAGATTGTGTAATTATTAAATATAGTTTCTGATAATAGCCTTTGAAGGAAAGTGGGCATCGTGAGTTCTTCCAAGAACTTCTTGTTTTTGATTTCTTATGGAACTTTAATGGTGACAGAGTATTTTAACAACTGGCACCTTTATCTTCTCGTGCACTCTTGCCCTCTAGCATTTCCTTCCCACCAACACTGCTGACAAATTGAGAATAATATGTTGCATTTTCAGGTTGACTGCCCCTTCATAGTTTGTATGACCTATGCATTTCACACACCAGACAAACTTTGCTTCATTCTGGACCTCATGAATGGTGGAGATCTGCATTATCACTTGTCACAGCATGGAGTTTTTAATGAACATGAGATGAAATTCTATGCAGCCGAAGTTATTTTAGGTGAGTTTAGATTTGCACAATATGCTGTGACTTATATCACAGTTTTATAAATGACATTGTTCCAGTTGTGATCTTCTGGGTTGTAATACTATGTAATCTTCTCCAGGTGGATACTACATATGTAACATTTTGGTAGCATGTACTGCCTTCATCTTCAGGATCAAACAGTGTAAGGTGAGGGTGCAGTGAGTGTATATAGGCAGATTGGGTGGAAGGTGTCACTCAGGGTCAGGGGTGGGGAGGGTGGAGAGACAGCCCCTTTTGAGGCCACTGCAGGCAGGATAGTGGGAACGGAGAAAAGACCCTGTTAAGGGCCCAGAATAGTGTCATCACACGAGGACTATAGAACTGTGAGTACACAGCCCTTTCTGAAGCTACACTCTGCTCTCTTCTCACTCCTGAGATAGATTGCTCTCAAGTTGAACTGCATCTCATATACTGGGTATTGCTAACATTTAAGATATTTGCAATTATTGTTTGGGTGGGGGATTTCTGAGTGAGCAACTGGTATGTATGAATTTTAGCAAGGATGCTTTTGGATAGGTAAGTTGTCAAATAAGGATCACTGCTGGGTCGTGCATGTATTTTGCACTGATATTTCTCCAAGAAACAACTTGAATTTGTATATTTATGTAAAAAAAAAAAGTAAAGCTATCCCTGTAACAGGCCATGAAGGCCCATAGGGTTGTGAGACGTTGAGGGTCCCACATTATCTAGACAATTGGCTGAAAGATGGTGGTAAGGGTGTCAGCCTTACGCGCCGGCTGCACTTTACTCCCCAGGAAAATTATTTAATTAATTCCTGGTACTCATTTTTGTTAGAGGCTCAGTCAACCCCAGGGCCCTAGTGCGGCTGGAAGGATTAGGTCAAATGAAAAAATCCAGTGACCTCATTGGGACTTTAACCCACAACCTTCTGGCTTGTAGCATAGCCCCTCAACCAACTACACTACTGCATTAAAAATGTTTCCTGTTGAGACAAAGTACTTCACCTTAAAATTTAACATTGTACACCAAGCACTTTAAATGATCACTAACAGTAATTTCACTGAGGTTATATTTGGTGTGCAATTGTAAATTTGAATTTTCAGTTAAGTCAACAAGCAGATTTGATTCGATTCTTTCAGAATGTTATCACTAAGTCCTTGGACTGGAGATGCTCTGTAGCTATCAGAGATCCAGCTTTCTCTTCCATCGAATTACTCAAAAAAGGAATTCATGCAGATAGGCCCATAAGACTGCAATGAATGACTGTCCTAACTCTCCACAGATTGGTCCTTTGATCTCTGGGTTAGGAAAATGGTGTTGGGATATTTTCTGTACCAACCCATGTTCCATGTGGAATTTGATTGAAGTCTCCCATATCGAATTTCTATAAAATATTGAGATTTTTTTGTGGGATACATGGAGAAGTCCATTTATGGCTTGTTTTGAAAGAGATTAATTTTAAAATATGCTGTCTCTATTCAAATAAAGGGTAAATTAGCATATGTAGTTATATGATAATATGCATCTTATTTTAATAATTTGTGGCTTTTTATGTTGTGTGAGTAGAGCTGAAAATTAAGGAATACTCAACACAATTTGGTGAAAGCCTTGCATATAAAACTTTAAGAAAAGCAGTCCATCTGTTAAGCACTTAGTCTTGGGTCAGGAGATAAATGGACAGACCTCTACAGATGGCATCCTTATTTACTTTCTAAATAATGCCTACATTATGCAGCTATTAAAATACCCTGTCCAGAGCACGCTCATAGTGCATCACTGCTGGAGGATCATAATCTGAATGACCTTGAAATGTAATGTCAAAGTGCAACAAGAAAAAATGAAATGGAGCTGCCATTTGTCAACCCTTTCAGTTCCTCTGTTGGATGCTTGGTCAGACAGGTGCTGGAATTGCATTCCCATGCAATGTTAATCTGAGTTGGACAATCTGAACAATCTAAAAAATAAATGAAAAATAAAATTGGTTCTTCTCTTCTTACCATAAAATTGACCCCAGTGGTCGTTCGTGTATTCATATTAAGGATTCTCTGTTAGGTTTAATGTGTTCATCAGAAACTTTCATCTAGTCCATTGTTTTGACTGAGGTGCACAGTTTAAAATTGGAACAAAATCAATTAAATTTGGAGTGGGTTATATGTCAAAATGCATGGGCAACAGAGGTTGACAGTTTGTAATAGATTTTCAAGACATTCTGCTACCAGCAAGAATAATAGGCACCAGAATAGCAAAATAATCATGTGAAGACCTGAACTCACATCATGAAATGTATTGTCCCATATCCTGGTAATGCGAGAAGAAGTTAATGGGTTCTGGATTAGATGAATCACCCGGGGCAGGCTACAGTAGGCCAATCAGTGGCCGCCATGCCGAGTGGACCCAGTAGGACTCCACCCCAAACTAAGTGAATTTAAAAAAAAAGTGATTTATTGGATAAGTTGATTGCAGTTACAGTTACTCAGTAATAAAGTCTTCCACACGATGCACCATGACTAATCTATCATCTTATGTTTCTTCACTGAGTCTTCTGTCCAGCTCTGCTGGTTTCCACACCTTGGTTTGCTTCCTTTCACCACTATTATTCACTTGTGACTCAGTCTTAACCACTGTGAACCAATTCTACTTCGAACCTGAACTGACAGCTCACATCTGTCGCTATATAGCCACAGCACTGACCACATGGAACACACACTCTCCTCTTGTTGTAGAGGTGTGTTTACCTCATCATTGCATAGCAATGGTTGTGGCACGGACCAGGTAGAAAGAAGTTCCATTGTTAGCGGTATTGCATCACCTAGCAACCAGTTGTAGGATAGCCCACAGCAGACACAGTTTCCATTGTTGCGTATTCAACAGAAACGCTTTGGACATCCACATTACAGTATTTTCACGCTGTTTATCGTGTATATATATGTCTAAACTCAGGAACAGCATCTGAACTCTGAATATAAAAGAAGGTAATTTAAAAATATGGAGGACTGGTCCCTCGAATAATTAACTCTTGCTGTATTTTCATGAAACAAGGTACTGTCATTTAATTTTTGTTCCGTGTCTGCCTGATTTCATGTGTTTGCAGGTTTAGAACATATGCACAGAAGATATATTGTCTACCGAGATCTAAAGCCTGCTAATATACTGCTCGATGAACATGGACATGTTAGGATATCAGATCTTGGTCTTGCCTGTGACTTCTCAAAGAAAAAACCTCATGCTAGTGTGTAAGTATGTTTATTTGTTTTCATTTAAAGTAAAAAAAGTGAGTAAAGCTATCCCTGTAACAGGCCATGAAGGCCCATAGGGTTGTGAAACGTTGAGGGTCCCACATTATCTAGACAATCGGCTCAAAGATGGCGGTAAGGTTGTCAGCCTTATGTACCAGTCGCGCTTTACTCCCCAGGAAAATTATTTGATTAATTCCTGGTACTCATTTCTGTTAGAGGCTGAGTCAACCCCAGGGCCATTGAATGGCTGGAAGGATTAGGCCAATTGAAAAAAATCCAGTGACCTCATCAGGACTTGAACCCGCGACTTTATGGCTTGTAGCAAAGTGCCTCAACCAACTACGCTACCAAGTGCCCCTATTTGTTTTAATTTACTTTAATTAAATGTATGTTGTCTGCTTCAGCTCCAGAAACTTTAAAGATTCTAAATTCTGTTTATTTAATATACTCCAGACAACATTCAACCGCTCATCATTATAGCCTCTAGCAGGAGTGAAACAGTGAATTAAAAGTTCTGAATTCTGTTTCTTTAGTATACTCCAGACAACATTGAGCTGCTCATCATTATAGCCTCTAGCAGGAGTGAAACATTGAATGAAAGATTCTGAATTCTGTTTCTTTCATATAATCCAGACAACATTCAGCTGCTCATCATTATAGCCTCTAGCAGGAGTGAAACAGTGAATAAATGAAGGGTAGATGAATGGAAGTTTGGATAGTTAATAAAAATTCACAGTTGCATGAAATTGTGTTTTATATATAGTACACATAGTAACAGTTTTCCATATTAGTGTCTAATATGTATTAATTTGTGTTTTCCTTTAATATTCCTCTCCCTTCCCTGCAGACAGAACTGTGTGAGGGTAGACAGGTCCAAAACTATGTATATCAGGTTATATTGTACATGACTTATCAGAGGTCAGTGCTAATATTCACTTTAAGTAATAGTTTGTGTGAATGGCTACAGAAACTGAATTTCTTTTATATAAACAGTAAAGTATTATTGCAACTCTAAGTTGAAGTGGAGGTATAGCTTCATGGCTCTTGCCACTTGTCTTGTGGTGAAACAGCCCTCTGGGGCCCATTGGGTAGGTGACTGGTTGGATCTCATAATTAATTTGGAATCTCTGGAGAAAGAACATTCCAGTGTTTGCATGGGGCTTATGTTAGCTAAGTCAGATTACATAAATAAAATATTTTCAAATGTCTCATGATGCCTTTTTATATGCCACTATGATTTTTGGAGATACATGGAGTAAAATGGGAATAAAAGTTTTTTCTAGGAGCCATCTTTTGACTATTATGAAATCAAAAGTCAGCTTATGTTACATCTATGCATATGATGCTTTATTACAAACTGTATTTAATTATATTTGGAATGAGTTAGAATTGACATCTCTATATTAGACCGTAGTGTAGCAATTTTTACAGCTGTGCATGTCTGGAATGTGAAATTTGTTTCAGATTTTGAATTCGTGCTGCTGGTAAGTGAAGGCATATATGGCTGGAATCTGTGCTTCTTGCTCACTTATGTGGGGTGTATGAGCTCACAGTTTTTTCTTTTAAATATAAGGGAACTCAGTTATTACTTGTATTAATTTATTGTAGAGAAATATACAATAACATTAAAATTCTAAAATTTAAATTTGCTTAGTGGGGGGTGGAGTCCAACTGGGTCCACTCAGCACGGCGGCCACTGATTGGCCCATTGTAGCCTGCCCCGGGTGATTATGATGATGGAGAATTTGGTGAATGAAGATTGGCAGGGGAAACTGAACTACTCGGAGAAAACCCACCCCAGCGCCACTTTGTCCACCATAAGTCCCACTTGACCAGACGTGGGGTCCAACCCAGGCCACCACAGTGGGAAGCCAGCAACTAACTGGTTGAGCTATGGCGCGGCCTCACAATAACAGTAAATTTATCAAACTGGACAGATCTGTATCACAGTTATAAGTTGTGAACTTGTACTGTCATCACAATCCGTTGAAGTTTTCACCAAATTCAATTTTTCTGTGATAAAATCTCCTTCATTCTTCTCTTGTATCCTCTTTTTATGTATATCCCCTGTTTCCATAATCATTTTTCTATATTTTATTCCAGAGGAACACATGGGTACATGGCTCCTGAAGTACTCTCAAAAGGGACAGCGTATGATTCCAGTGCAGACTGGTTTTCATTTGGATGTATGCTGTACAAGTTGCTCAAGGGTCATAGTCCATTCAGACAGCACAAAACAAAAGACAAACATGAGATAGATAGGATGACATTAACAATGGTGAGTTAATATGATGTAAGTTTATTTAATGTCATTGCATGATATACAATGCAAAGAACTTCAGGCAGTTTTAGTTTAGTTGTTGTTACAAACTAATAATACTGGTGTTACAACAATTTTATTTTTCTGTACTAATTACCATGCTTTTCATTGCAGTTTGTTCAACCATCTACATATTTCATAATGCTATTATAATAAAAATGTTTGAACCTTAAGCCATCTTCCAGTTCTTCTTTCATTTTATCATGACCAGATAATTTCAATTTTAATTCTTCCTTTAATGAGCCGGTAAGGTCAAAATGAGATGGTGCTAAGCCAAGACTGCAGTAGATGTTTGAGAGATTCAGATTTCATCTTGTCAGTGATTTTGGCAGTATGAACATAATCATGGAACAGAACAACATATTTTGAAAGTAGCCTCCTCCATTTTGATTCAGTTGCTAGTTATGTGCCATGTCACTGTATCAAAGACTAATGACAGTTATTCCTGTAGATTCTAAAGAGTTCTGACGATGGTGTATAACACTCAGAATTACTGGGTTTTGGACTTTATCCATCATCTGGTATTCTAAAAACTAGAGAATGCAACATTTTGGAAACCGGATCTGTTTTCGTCCTCAGGTGAGAGAGGAGGAACCTACTCTATTGGGTCCCTTAGAAAGAGCTAGCCTCAATCCAGAAACGTTGCGTTCTCTAGATCATAGAATACTAGATGATGGACAAAGTCCGAAACCCAGCAATTCTGACCATTATTACCAATAAAAGTCACTGGTAACAAGGTAATTTTCATACTGAGGCATTTTAACATTTTCATAACTGATGAAGGTGTGTGCTTGATTTGCATTGACGCTCATAGTGGTGGACCCATTTCTGATTTCAGTTCACATCTCTGTCCTGGAACTATTACAAGGTTCTGCTGCTCATATGAGAGACAGTTTCCTTAGTGTTCCCAGATGTGCTGATAACTCTATTCATCAATCTCAACACCAGTGACAGTTTATAACAGCTCACAGCACCAACTGCTGTCCTTGGAATCTTTCTGCCCATTGCATAAATTTCACCAGTTTTCACACACTGTGATCACAAGTATCTGATTGCATTGTGGTTGTCCATATTTGGTGCAGTCTCTCAGTCAGCCAGTCATGCTAAAGGTGCCACAGTATTATCTCTTCTCAAAAAAAAAAAATTGATACAGATGTGTGTATCTCCCATTTCCTTCAATGCTGCCAGCATCACTTTTGAGGTAAACTAAAATTGCCCTTCCTTTTTTACTTTCCCACATGTAATTAGTTTTCTTCATTTTTTTAATCCTGAATTACTTGAAGAATGATGATTGTTTTAAAGTAGGAATTCGTACAGTGGTTCATCAATACTCCCACAACAAAGTGTTTTGTTTGGTTAAAGTGATTAGGGCTCACAGAAACAAGTAGCATGATGTCAGCTGTTTCAGTGAGGGCAGCACTGAGGAAGGAATCACAGTCGTTCGAAAAAAATAATTATACCATATGTATTGCATATGTTATGTATAGTCCAGGTACTTCCTGGTACTTCCATCAAATGGTGGCATGCTTCACGCAAATAACAGTTGATAAGAAAACATTCAGTAATTGATGGTGATACCTAAAATGGTAAATGAAATCCTTGTTTAATATTGTATGAGAGGATAATGAATTTGGTCATTAAACTGAACCAAATCATAAATGCACAAAATTTAAGTTACCTGTCACCAAAACACTGAATTAGAGAAAACCTTAAGTGAAGAAACTTGAAGTATGGAGTCTACTGGATATCCAACTTAATTTTATTTCATGCTCATGTGATTTCAGAATGTTGAATTGCCAGAATCTTTCTCAAAAGATCTCAGATCATTACTGGAGGGGCTGCTTCAAAGGGACATTGATAAAAGACTGGGTTGTAAAGGAAATGGGTAAGTCAGCGATTGGTGTAGGGTTCCTAAATTGTGTACTGTTCCATTTGTGTTTAATAAAATCAACACTTCAGATGTTATTTGTAGGAACACTGAACTCTCTATCTCCAGGGAGTAGAGGTCTTCTTGTGAAAGTAATAGTCAACTCATTTAGTTAGTGAATTGCTTTGTCGTTGCTTTGTTCACAAGAATGCACCATTGGACATTATCCTGAGCAAAATAAATCCAGTCCAGTTCCTATTAGTATAAGCTCCATTTTAATATGTTTATTCCATATACATCTAGGTCTCCCAAGTGCTCTCTTTCTCTAGGTTTTTAAAATTTTGTTTCAATTTCACATCTCCCCAATCCGTTCTACATATTGCCGTCCATCTCCTCTCCCTTCATGATCACTCTAATGTAATAGGCCCTTGTTATACTAAAGATTCAAATATGTTCTAGCTTCCACATCTCAAAGTAGTGGTCCTTAACATCTTATTGACTGCTTCAGTTATCAGTTTGTGACATAACAAAAATGCATGCTGATTTATACTGTGGCCATGCTGGCTGTGAATCTGTGCAGTCTTACAATTGGTTGAGTTACAACAACACCTAGTTTGGTAGAGGGCTACCATCATTTCAGAGGAACATGCTGCCACCATATTCAGGAAGATGAAGGTTAAAGCAGTGTGTTCCTCCAGATATTTGAAACCACCCACCATACAACGCAGAAGATCCCAAACTAAATCTTCATTACTCTGAAGAACTTGGATCTCAACTATGTGCCAAGATATTTTATGCTGTAAAGATGCAAGCCACAGAATGAAACCTTTCATCAATAGCACTGACATACAGAACTGTAGTTCGCAGTGTCATGGAGACTAAAGCAACATGCAGATATCTTGGCAAGTTGGCCTGAACATGCAGTGACATAGAATTGTAATATTTTCATTCTGAAACAGCAGGTGTTGGTCACTATAAGGAAGCAGTCTTGAAACTTACTTACTCTTTGGTGGTGTGGAATTTGATTTGTGTATTAGTGTCTCCTTGAATTAGTTTGTTGAGTGGTTTTAATTGCATGTTTATAATTCTGAAAGTGGAAGGCAAGCAAAGCAAGCACAAATTGGTACATAAATGGAACAGAGATGTGGCTTTCAAGGTGTTTGTCTATTCCAAGTGTAAACTAAGTCATCCAGTTTACAGTGTTATCAAGTGTGATGATGACATAACAGATACTTGCTGTGTTGGACTGGGGGCCATTCTGTTCTTTGCTAATGAAGGAAAAATCTTCTTTTACAAGAGAATGCGTGAATTTTGAATCACCAGGTAAAAACTGGCAAAAAATTGATAAAAAGTGACAGGTATGGATTATTTTTACAAAGATATACTGATTTGTAAAGTTTTTGGTTTCTGTGAAAGGGAAGAATTTCCCCCTGCTGAAAAGTTGGTTATCAAAATGAGTGAAGCTGTTAGATCTGAAAGTATTGGGATGTCAGTGTTAAGAATTTTGAAATCTGTTTGCTTTAAGTTCACAGCAAACAGTTACAGTTGAAAACTGCTCACGGAATTCAGTGATATTGTGGCTCTGAGGGCATTGCTCTTGACAACAGTGCATGAAATTAAACAAATAGTGTGTGCAAATGTATGGTGTTCAGGTGAAATGTGGATGAATGAAAACCACGCACAAAAGTTGCTGGAAGATGAGTGATGAGTCTGGTTGTCTGCAAGTCCCTGTTAGTAAATGTGGTGGGGTCATCATGTATTATGCTGGATCAGCTGACAGAGGTTTTGTTCCAGAAATGTTAATTTTTCCATCAAAATCTGAAATTAATACTGATTACCACAAGGAAATGAGCAATAAATTATTTAAAAACTGGTTTTGAGAATAATTCCTAACACACTTTGCCCCAGAGTATGTTACTGTTGTAGACGGTGCTCCTGCCATCTGTCATTCTGTTGTGTTGGAGAAGCCTCCAACTGCAAGCAGCAAAAACCCGTATTATCGTTGGAGCTACTGTCACTTTTACTGTCTGTGGCCACAATTCTTTGTTCTCCCCTGTCACTGCCACTCTCTGAATCACCCTGACTACGCGTCTCACAAGGCAGGTCATCTAGCTCATCAGAGAAAAATTTGTCCTTGATTCATACACCACTACTAACTACTGGCTGATACATACAAAGGCAAAGCATTTTCCTTTATAGTGGGTTAAGAGAACAGTGAGATCAAGTTACCGATAAGTAAGCAAACTTTCCAGAGTTTTATTATGCAGCTGCATGCAACTTAGATGGTGCCGTAGCAAGGTATAGTGTGTGTGACAACCTAACATGTCCTAAAATCATGATATCATGCGATCGGTCCGCCACGTTTAAAAGCCAAAAGCATGATATCATGCGACCAGTCCTCAAACTGTTAAGTGGTGGTGTTCCAAATCACTATTTTATTTGCATGTTATAATAAGCATGAATACATGTTAACTTTTCAGGCCTATGTGTTTGTGATGGGTTGACTGGTTAATTGTCATTTCTACTGTTACTTGTGTTTATCAACAGTGCTGACGAGGTGAAGGAGCACTCGTTCTTTGCGGGACTTGATTGGCAGCAAGTTTACCTCCAGAAGTACACACCACCTCTTATACCTCCAAGAGGGGAAGTGAATGCAGCCGATGCATTTGATATTGGCTCTTTCGATGAAGAGGACACAAAGGGTATAAAGGTGTGTTGGAATTAAGCAGTGGAATCACAGTTGTGTAATTCAGAATTGGGATCTAACCTGTAGATGAGCCCATCATCATGTATTAAACTGTATATTGACCACTGTCTGGTGGTTGGAAAACTGAAAGAGCATGGAAGTATTTTATTAAGAAGCTAAATGATATGGAAGTTAAAGAAAAGTGTCAGATTAAAGTCTGAAATAGGCTTGTGGCTTCAGAAAGTTAATCTGGACACTTAGTAGGGCTTGGGAAAGTACTGGAGAGGATATCGTGACTTTGGAAAGACAGTCTGCATATTGATACCTAAATCTTCTTCAGTCAACTAATTTTTGCATCATGTCCCCTTCAAAATGTGTGAGTTACTACATCAAGCCCAGTAATTCTGCCATTTTAGGAAGCACCTCTGAAGCTATTCATTTTTAATATCATGAAGTACCTGCTGGCATTTTCTTTTCCTGAATTTTGCCTGTGGTTCTGTATGGGTGTCGAACTTGGTCTCTGACATTAAGGGAAGAACATAGACTGAGGGTGTTTGAGAACAGGGTGTTGAGGAGAATATTTGGACCGAAGAGAGATGAAGTGACAGGAGGTTGTAGAAAACTACATAATGAGGAGCTTCATAACCTGTACTCCAAGTATAATTAGAACAATGAAGTCAAGGAGAATGAGATGGGCAGGGCATGCAGCATGAATGGAGGAGAAGGGGAATGCATATGATATTGGTGGGAAAGCCAGAAGGAAAGAGACCACAGGGAAGACCAAGGCATGGGTGGGTGGACAGTACTAAACTGGATCTTAAAGAGATAGGATGGGATGGTATGGATTGGATTTATCTAGCTCAGAAAAGGGACCAGTGGAGGGCTCTTGTAGACATGGTAATGAAAAGGGACCAGTGGAGGGCTCTTGTAAACATGGTAATGAACCTTTGGGTTCTGCAAAATGCTGGGAAGTTCTTGAGTAGCTGCACATGGCTTCTGAAGAGGGGCACAGGTCCGTGAGTGATCGATCTGACAAATACAGAACATCTGATCTGCTATGTAAACACAAGAAAAATGTTTTATTTTTGTTCTTAAATTTTTACAGTTGACAGATGCAGATCAAGACCTCTACAAGAACTTCCCACTAGTGATCTCAGAAAGGTGGCAAGCAGAAGTGGCAGAAACCGTGTTTGAAACCATCAATCAGGAAGCAGACAAAATGGAGCAGAAGAAAAAAGCCAAACAGAAGCTTAAGTTTGACACAGATGAGAAAGGTGAGTTTCTCTATATTAATGTATTGTATGAAAGTGATCTTGTGATTCATATGCGTTGTAAGAAATAATAATAAAAGAATGCTGGGTACATGTGAGGCTTGTATCTGTGCGTCTTGTACATCAAGGGGCTCTTGGTATTAGTGAGAGTGAAGTCAGTCACTCAATCAGTACAGTCTCCTGCATTGTAATTCTTTGTAGTTTGTAGAGAATGTTGAATTTGAGAGGAATGTATCACCTATATCTTCATGACTGAAAAGTAAGCCAAGTAAGATGCCAGCAGAATCAAGTAGCAGGCTAAGAAAACCATGCATAGAAAACCCAGTCTGATATAGCCATTGGCTCTCTTGCTGTTCCTTTCAGTTGGACCAGCCTGTATCAGACCAGATCTTGTATGCATGGTCCACTCAGCTTGCCGGTAGCTTTTCCTGGTTTCTTCCTTGGCCTACCCATAAGCCCTAAAGGTGAAGGCAGTATATTCCTCCAAAATGTCAGGCTTTCTCTGAACTAGACAGAGTTACAACCCAGAAGGCCACACACTTCATTGTCACTGCTGTAAGAGCCTCATATTCAATAAGACATACACTTACCCATTTACAGCCACTGTCGTGTGTTAGAGTGACTCTCAGCAGGGTTTTTGATTAGAGATAGGATTTATTGATGTTTTTCAGGTTGTAACTATAAATAACTATGACACTATCACTAAATTCCACACTTCACAAATTACTACAGGGCATGCCAAGTCTTTCTGGTCTGCTCTCACTGGTCACTTCCTGGTAACGGACCTTAACAATGGAAATTCTTCAATTGCACTGACCAAGTCGTCTGTTCACAGACTCCCTTACAACTGACTGACTACTAAATTTTTCTTGGGTATAACATCTCAGCATGGACCAGATGTGGATTTCACATCTAAGTGTCCAATATGTCTCGTTGAATATTCCCTCATTAATTTTTTACACTGCAGAATTCCCTTGTAAAATGATACTTTAAATTTTCCCTACAGTGTATGGCCTAATTAGCCCCCATTTTATTCACAGAATACAGCTGTAATGATGTATGAATGTCACAGTAGAGTGGTTGGCACTCCTCATTGAAATGTTTTGTAAGTTTCATTAGGCCCTCCAAGCAAATTCCAATGTAGTGTTAGTTCCTTCAGGTAAGCTGTGATAGATCCTTCCATATCCATCCAAAATTTTTTACAGATGATTCTACTTTTTGACATTACATGACACCCAGATGACAGGTGAGGGTGATTGTGGAGCAATTGGCGGAATGAAGATTGGCAAGGGAAACCGAAGTACTCTGAGAAAACCTACCCCAGCGCCACTTTGTCCACCACAAATCCCACTTGACCAGACCCAGGATCGAACCCGGGCCACCGCAGTGGGAAGCCAGCAACTAACCGGTTGAGCTATGGCACAGCCTAAAAGTTGTGTTTAATTTGTTAATTTGTAAATTTGTTCAGAAGGACTGAGGAAGATCACAAAGTATATATCATGGTAGAAATTCTCTTGGCTGAGGGTTGAACCGTGACCTTCCAAGTGTGAGACGGGGGTGCAAAACACTCAGCCAGGATATTGATTGGATTTGGTTGAAATTTATCTCCATACACTGTATATGTCTTCATAACATGATGCTGAGGCACCTTCAGATGCCTAACTTAACAAAAACTGTAAATTGATTTTTAAAAGTGTTGCTGTTTTATGAGAAAACTGTATTGAGCCTTAATGCAGAACTGTAGTTTCAAATGTAGGTGTACCAGGAATTCATGCCATAATTATATTATTTTGCCTGTTAATCTTGGAGTGTACTTAAAAGTAGTTGCTGTTTCTTTCTGTACATACCTTAGAAGCTCTGATTTTGTAGCTTCGTACTAAATTTTTGCTGTTTGCTTTTTGGAACAGAGTCTGATTGCATTCTGCATGGGTACATCAAGAAGCTGGGTGGACCATTTGCGTCAGCATGGCAAACACGGTACGCCAAACTGTATCCAAATCGATTAGAATTGCACCCAGAATCTGGCAGCACAAAACCTGAACTTGTCTTCATGGACCAGATAGAAGATGTCAGTGCAGATCTTGTACATCTCAAGAATGAGCAGTGCATTGTGCTCCGAACGCGGGATGGCAAGATTGTTCTCACCAACCCAGTACGTCTTACAGTATCTTGTGCATAAATTGTGTTTCATGTTATGCTAGTGTCTGTTGCTAGTTAATAGTGTACAGCAAAAAGAGTACATTTTCTTCATTAAAACCATCACAACACAACTATATTAAGGTTAGTGCCTAGTTGATATAGTTGTGTTCTGATGGTTTTAATAAAGAAATTGTATCTTATAACACAACAGGATGCATGAAATGAAAATTATAAAAGAGTACATTGTTTATGGATTAACCTCTTCTAGATACTATGGAGTTGGTAATTTTAATATTTCTCATTTAGGCTGCATGTAAGAATATGAATATCATACCAAAATTAAATTGAGACATTATTGTGTTTTCTAGGACATCAGGTTTCAACTGGTGTGTTATTACAGAATTAGTAGCAATAGGTTGTCAGTAATACTTCAGGTTTTCATAGCAATGATTGTTCAGATTGTGGTCTTCTGAGTTGTGTGAAGAGAGTTCTGTTCTTGTGAATTAAAAACAAATTAAAAAATCAAGATATAACAGGACATTGTGTTCACAGTCAGCTGATTACACTGTCATGTTATGGGAAAAGTTTTACCTTTCTGCCGATAAAGGTTAATGGCATTTGTGTGCACTTTGTCAGAATGAAAAGTGTTGAATTGTTTTTTTTTCTACGTTTAAAATCTGTTTCCTTGATTTTACATTTTCCACCGTGTTACACTTGTTTTATGAAATGTGTTGCAAAATGTAAAACAGAGGTCTCATTGTAGTACCTGTGAATAAATTATTTTAATATTATATAGGTTTAAAAGAACTGCAGAATCAGTACAGTGACATACTTGTAATAAAAGTATTTCTTGTAAAGAGTATGTGCCATACTCGGAACAGTGCACGTAGTTCATTACATGTCAGGAAACTTTCAGGGGTGGTGTTTTGGCTTTGTATTACATACTGGACAAATATAGAGGGTGTTTGAATTAATTTAAACTTTAAAGTTATGAATTATCCCAAATTTAATGAAAAAGTTCATGTTTTCTACTATGTGGCAACTGGAATGTGATTGCAGAGTAAATGAAGAGTGCACGTACATATAGCTGGCATTTAAGGGTTCAAGTTTCTCTTTGTTGAATCACATATAATGAAATATATTTGATAATTATGTAAGAAGGACTTCGTTGATTCTTGTGATAACCCTGCTACCTGCAGTAGCAACTGGATCACTGACTGACACATCATCATTAAGAAGAATGTTAATAGTGTGCATCCTGTTGTGTGTCATAAATAAGATGTATAAAAGTATATAAGGTATGCAGTTTACACAACAATATAAATAATAAAATAATTATGAATAATAATAATTATAATAATATATAATTAGACTAAATTATATACATTTTGGCGTTTAATCTTCTGCAGTGTTGACTGTTGGAAAATAAATTGTATTTGTTACAGATTTTATGATAGAAAAAATATAAACTAGATTACTGGGAATGAATCTGTGTGCCAGTATGCAAAGTTCTGAAATTAAGTCTTCTTATGCACAGTTATTTTCTATATTTTCATACATTTTGTTGCCTCTTCTTCAAAGTATGGGGAACTGGTAGGCCTACATTTAATGCAACAAACAGTGACCACCACAGTGTTCTCAACTGTTTCCTGAAAATAAAACGACTGATTTTGGAATATGCGAATCCTGGACTATCGTTAGTGTATGTTTGATATAATAGCTAGACAGATAAACAGCTGTTGTTTTATTATATTAAAAACCTGATGGTTTCCTTCTGTGAATTTATTAATTTATTTTGGTTCCTTTGCTCTGGTATATAACAGTTCATAAGTTATTATGCAAAGTTATGGTGCATTCAGTTTATCCCAAAATCCTTTTCATAATAGGACAACAGTGGGTTCAAGTTTAGAAAGGTCATATTTGATACGTAGCACATCCACAAAGTAAGTTTCCCACTCATCCCACAGCTAGCAAACCTTATATTGCGCAAAGTGACTGCGCGTCCGTGATAGAGCAATGACGTAGCATGGCTCATGCACAAACGGAATTTCCCGCATTCCCACAGTAGCATCGTTGCAGCTGTTGAAGACGGAGGCTCTTATTCCAACTCCCGCCGACTGTGAAGTGCGGTCAGGGATAAAGTTTTTGAATGCACAGAGCATAGCGCCGATCGAAATTCATCATCAGCTGTGACTGGTCTATGGGCCTAATGTCTTGAGCAAGTAGATGGTGCGTCGCTGGTGCAGACAATTTTCAGCAGGTTGACAAAGTGTGCATGATGAGAAGTGCAGTGGGCGGCCATCCATCATTACAGACGACCTGGTGGAGCTTGTGCGGGAACGCATTATGGAGAATCATCGCGTCACAATTACGGAACTCAGCAGTCATGTCCCGCAGATTTCCCGCACCTTGTTGCACAAAATTGTCACGGAGCACCTGTTGTTCAGGAAATTGTGCGCCAGGTGGGTGCCGAAGCAACTGACACCAGAACACAAACAAAGCACATGGAGTCAGCAATGACCTTTCTGCAGCGGTACCACGATGACGGCGACGAGTTTCTGGACTGGATCATCACAGGTGATGAAACGTGGATTGCACACATAACCCCAGAAACCAAGCAGCAGTCAATGCATTGGCATTACAGTGGAGCTCCCTGTAAGACGAAATTCAAGCAGACGTCGGAGCGGAAAGTGATATGCACGGTATTCTGGGACAGACGGGGCGTTCTCCATGTTGACTTCCTGGCCAGAGGTGAGACGGTGAATGCTGGGCGTTACTGTGAAACACTGCAGAAATTGCGATAGGCCATTCAGAACAAGCGGCACAGGATGCTTAGTGCCGGTATTGCCTTCCTGCACGATAATGCTAGGCCGCACACGGCTCGACGGACAGCAAGTCTCCTGCAGGAGTTCAGCTGGGAGGTGTTCAATCATCCACCCTACAGCCCGGACCTCGCTCCCAGTGATTTCCATCTTTTCCTACACCTCAAGAAATTCCTGTCCGGTGAGCATCAGCATTTTGAGAATGACAGAGGCGGAGATGGTTGTCACACAGTGGTTCCAGTCCCAGGCGGCAGACTTTTATGACACAGGTATTAAAAAGTTGGTCCCACGGTATGACAAATGTCTCAATTCCGGTGGCGATTGTGTTGAAAAATAGCTGAACACTTGCTGTATCTGTTGCAATAAATATTTCCATGAAATTATGTTTTATTTCTGCAAACGGCCCCAGGGAAACTTACTTTGTGGACGAGCCTCATATGATACACATGACAGCTTGACTTCTGGAACTGTTGTAGTAAATGTGTTCTGATATATCAGAGCTGCCAAGGATTTTTTACAATTCCAGGTTTTTCTCCAACCTCAGATTCATGTGTGTTTTATGCCATTGGAGAAAATCAGTAAAGTTTAATTTGATTTTCATGTCAATTTGAGATTATTTGGACTAGTATGTACTGGAAGCAATGTTAAATTAATTTAATGACACACTCAAATACATTTCACAAAGCTTTGTTCATTTTGTGCAGTGATGAAAGTCTGCATACTAATGTGTCTGGCATAATGCTGTTTCTAATATTTGTTTTCCCTTTGTTGTACAGGATGAAATAGGGCTAAAAGAATGGGCACTGTCTCTCCGCTCTGCCCATAAGTGTTCACTGGAGCTTCTGGGTAGTATGGCAAAGAAAGCAGGCAAGATATATGGCACAGAAAGGGATGCAAACAATAGAACTCCCTTCATAGCGGCCAGGAACACCAATGGCAATTAGTAACAGCCAGAACACCTTGTGCTGCTGTGATGGCAGCATCAGTAACAATTCCACTCCAGTATTGCCTCGCTGCGCCCCTACATGGGGCTTACTTCACGAGGTGACCATGGAATCCACATGCCCCTTCCTTCATCCCATTGTGCCAATCTCTGGCTGGTCTCAAGAAGAGATGAAATTAAAATTAGGATGCGGGTATGAAAGCACCACCCTCCCATCTTTGTTGCTATCTGTATATCCATTTTCTCCTCCCTTTGAAGTTCCATATGTGGTATGGCCTGATTTAGTATGTGGAGTTTCATCTTCCCAGATTGATGACACAATGCAACCGTCATCATCATCATTAGTGTATTTAAATAGCAACTGCAATAGTAAAGGAAGGTTTCAGCTCTCACCCTACCATATACTCCTCTCCATTAATACTGAATGGAAAACTAAACCCTCTTGCAGTCTGTGTGTGAATGACCAGAATAACGTGTCTAAAGAAAGGACACGTTGCAGTCTGACGTACCCCCCCCCCCTCCCCAGTAGGGAAGGCCGTAAGCCTATACATACACATGTATGTGTGAGTGAGTGTTTTTAACGAGTATCACGTGTCAGTGATACTGCTGTATCAAAGCATGACATTTTTGTGCATAGGTGGTGAAACATGGGGTATGAAAGTATTGTGTGATTTATTGTACATAATGCAGTAAAATTGATGTTTTCCACACAAATATTGTTTGTGTGGAAGAAATGCCGTATGCTTTCTGTTAATGTGCGTATGTTGGATGTGAAAGTATCGAGTTCCTGGTATTTATTTTCTAGACATTTTGGTCTGAAGTGTTTTGTGTCTTGTGATGGACAGTGCAATGTTTAAATTGTTTCAGATAAATTCACCAAGTCTGCAATTTAAAGTCAGAAGGACAAAAGTATTATGTTGGTATAAGAACAACATAGATGCAAATCCAGTTTTTTTATGAAGTATTTTGTGTGTGACCACACCCTTCCCTGTGCCCTGTTATGAGTCAGGTAGAGAAAATGAAACAGATGTAGGTTCAGGTGAACCATTACATATGTGTAGTTAAAACTTAGAGTGTATGTTATCAGTTTCTGTGAATTAGTTTGTTCTCTGTCTTTATGTGCATTTGTAGATATGTATAAAGAAAACAAAATGCTCTACCTTGCTTGCTCATTTGCTGGCTTTTATTATTTTTATTGTTATTATTATTATTATTATTATGGAAAATGAGTGCCCAGTTTCACAATTATTTATTTACAATATTCCTGAAGTTTGTGGAAAATCCAGAATTCTTGTCACCATTTTTCTCCTTACTAATTACAAGCCCTTCTCAGCTGAGATGTATCACACTGTGCAACCATGTTGTCAGTAATGATTGTTGCTCATAGAAAAGAATCCTACATTTTTTTTTCATTTGTATTTTATCATGTAGTGTGTTTTTCACATCTTGATCATGATTCTGTGGCCTATAACTGTCAGATACCATCCACATTTCCTTGCAGTCTGGGAGTAATTTTCCATTAACTCCTATGTACAGATTTAGAAGGGTGTTGTGAATTAAGCATTTAATTGATTTTATATTTTGGCTTTTAAACAAAAGAAGATAGTACCAGTCCCTAACAAGGTAACCGCTTGCATTGAACCACAGGCCTTGAAGGAAGTTGTGGTGTGTGACATCTGGAAGTTTGGTTTCAGTGTGATAACAATTGTAAATGTAAGAAGATAATAATCTGGTTTTCAGTGTGGAAGGATACTTTGCAGAAATATAAAAAGCATAAAGCACATTGTCTGTTGGATTCCTGCAGCTGTGAAATAACTGTACTGCTTTGCTCCAATGCCATTTTGCACTTTAATGTTAAGTGCATTTTAATTTGTAATGTGTAACTTTATCTTTCAGAGTTCATTATATAAGCTTCATAGAATTTGCCATCTTTAGGATAAATTTCAAGCAGAAGGAGAGAGTGGATCTCACTTTGGGAGTAAGAGTTGGGTGTGGAGTATGGTGCTATCCAATTGGAAGGGACCTTATTGTCAAGAAAAATGGTTAGAGAGAAAGAAGTGAAACCAGACATAGATCAGTTTGTATCCTTTATGCTTGAAGTTGTGTGGGTGTTCAACTGCTTTGATGGCTTCCTTGATATGATGTAGCGATGGTAAGTATGGATGTTTTCTGGAGCTTCAGTTTTATTGAAGTCTACAGTATTTTTGGTCTTGGTGGAATGTTCAGCAACTGCAGATTATAGTTATATATTCAGATGTGTCTGATATGTTCCAGTATAATAGTGCAGATGGAATGACTGATTTAACCAATGTAGACACTGTCTTGAGAGGAAGGATCTTTTAAACACCCCTGCTCATGGGCAAAGTATGTATCGATCAGCAATTGCATTTCCAAGAAAGTCTGGAACATATCGGATGCATCAGACCGCAAAACCAGTGATCAGCAATAGCTAAACGTTCCACCAAGACCAAATATACCATATACTTGCGTAAAACTGAACACACCATTCCCAGATTAACAGGGAAGCTACTAAAATAGGTGAATGGCTTCATAAGTTCAACTGTAAAGGTGGATAGAAACTGACCTAGTTCTGGCTTCGGCTGTTCTCCCCAACTTTTCTTCACCATGTGGCCTATTCCCATCAGTTAGTACTACACACCATACCCTAGCCTTATTCTTACTTCATCCTACTTATTAGTCCAGTCCTTCAACCTCGCTTTCGTCTTGAACAAGACAGCTGCAGTGCATGCCGTAACATTGGAGCAGCTTCGACATAAAGCAAAGTTACACATTAGATACAGGCTGAGAAACCTGTTTTAATTTCCTTGACTTCAGCAGTGTAAGTCTGTAGTAAAATATTCTGAAGCCTACAAATTTTCTTTTCACTAAGAATGAGGTTAGGTGCCTGCAATTCCAGTGCTGTTTGCAAAAGTCTCCCTTTGCAGTGTGACATTTAAAATATTTTTTAAGTTCCAGAAGTGCATTAGTAGTCAGTTACATGTTGCAGTCTATCTCTTTGTCATTAATAATATGTAAATTGTAATTGGCTTGGCCTATTTTATAATTTGGTACTTTAGTTGCATTTCTGTTTAATACAATGCCAATTTTGAAAAGGGTTGTAAAGTTCACTGTGCTGTGGTTACAGTCATGAATGGTAGGTGAGTGTGTACTGCACAGTTATTGGAACATAAATATAGTCTGAAAGATATCATGCATTTCACACATCAAACGGTTACTAAAGTTGCGATGAAATGTTCTGATAGTTTTTTTTTAAGTTCTGATTCAGAGTTGTATAAAAGAAGTACTACATTAATTTGTGTATTTTTAAGTATGGTGCACATGAAAGCACTGTTATTTGTTAATGGAAAGTAATATTTAATTTTATGTTAGATATATACATAATATATATTTTGTATTATACCCTTGGTGTTGTATGACAGCAGCTTCTGTTTTGAGTGTGATTCAGAAATGTTGGTAGGAAAATGTAATTAGTGACAAAGCTTCAACAGTGGACCCACTAGAGTCCATATGTTAGATCCATATTTGTTTCACCTGTGTTGCATTTTGCTGCTACAGATCTATATGGACCTGAATGCCATTAACTATCACATCAAAAGGAATTCCTGTGAACAGCCTAAAAAATGAAAGAAAGTGCAGAAATAATTTATATTTTCTTTATTCCTTCGCACTTGGCACAACGTTTTAATGTTACTTCTTCAGACTTTGTTATAGACAATACTTAACTAAAATAAAAGAGAAGGAATGACTTCAGGTTCGGTGTACAATTTTTTTTTTTTCTGATTTATGTTATCTCATGTGGAATCAGTTGGTAGTAAGAACTGAGAATTGAACGTTATTTCCCAAATGTTTCCACTTGGATAGAGATTCAGAACTGTTGAATGAATGTTTGTATTGAACTTCTTCAAGGGTAAATTGTTATCCAGTGTCCATTTCAAATCCTAATCTGCTCAAGTCAGATATAAACCAATAATATGACTTTCATGTATAGTGGAAAGGCCTTAAACTCCACTGGGATTTTCAGATTTGATTTCTCAGAAATGTATGTTATTAGAATACAGACAAAAGAGCACTGAATGCAGATTATTGGGATAAATAAGAAATAATTATTTGTCATATGACTGTACTTTTGGTTCATGTAATGTTTCGAGTAAACCACTGGCCATAGATAGCATTATGATAAGTCTATAGATGAGTACTTAACACCTATTATTTATCATTAACATGGTTAAAATTAATGTATCACAGAGTTATTCAGTTCTTGCTGTGATGAGAGATGGAAGTTGCATCTTAAAATTGCATAAAGGTGAATGTCATAAATAGCAGTGGAATATTAAAATATGTGGCATTTAACTGAAAAGTGCAGACAAACTTTGGGCATGAGTTCACATACCAAAATGAGAATTAATACCTATATTAACATGTGTCCAGAAACGTTTAATTTGTAGGTTATAGCTAAAAAAAATACTATATAGACAATAACAGCAGGTCAGCATTAATGTGTTAATAGGAGTTGTTTTAGGCTCACAATTTTGCTCACATCAGCTTACTGGCAGTAAGATCATGAATGTGATACATGCATGATTGCACTCTTGAACATTTTGTTTGTCATGTTGTGTGAGATGTTCCCAATAACAATTCTCATAACTGATGGATAGGTAGAAGAGCACCCACAGCATGGCACCCGTACTTGCCAGATTTATTCCTCTCAATCTTTACCTCTGGGGACACCTAAAAACCCTTGTGTATGCAGCTCCTGTTGTCAAGGAAGAGGCCCTTCTCCATTGCATTGCGGATGTTTGTCAGACTGTCCGCGTCTATCCCAGCAACTTTGAATAGATCTGGCAGTCCATGATGATACATCAAGGCATGCATTGAATCTCATGGAAGACATTTTGAGCATTTATTATAAATGTACTCTTTCGGCCATAACTCACAAATCAAATGTTTCTGGACACAGGTTGATATGGACATTTTTTGGGGGTTTCAGTGTGTGGAACACATTCCAGAAGTGTTGAGTTGAGGTCCTACAGTATGAAAAACATACTGTTTTTAGTTCAGGAGATTATGTATCAAGTTTTGATACTTTTATATAAACTTTGTTATATATTAAAGTATCACTTTTGTGCATATAATTTAGATAATCAAATGTTATGGAGAACACACTAATTGCTAGTAACGCACAGCTACACTTTGATGTCAGGATATCATTAGCAGGCTACAAACACCATTATTGGAACATAAGTTAGCTGGAATGTATGCCTTATATGTACATAGGTTATAATGATACATTTTCTGTCCTTTTAATCAATATTAATTAATTTCCTAGCTGCTGCTCATAGTATGGCCATCATACACACATATATAGGTACTGTACTGAGACAGTAAGTCATGTCTAGAATACTGAAGTTATGAACTAATTACATGAGTTATGAGTATGATTGATTTCTGGAAACACAAATTTTGAGCTAGAGAAGTTTTGGCAACTGCATTATACTGAGGTACAGTGGTATGCTGCATCTGGAACTGTCTGAGGGTGTGTCATCATCAGATGGTGGCATAGATCATTGTGTTGTTAGAACGTAACTTGATTACATTGGAAATCTGGCTCAACACACAGGAATTTTCTTCCAAAGTTTGCCTACTTAAGCTGTGATGTACCCTTGGAGATATATTATACAAAGTTTTTGTGATACTAATATTGGACATTTATGACCTAAACTTTCATGTTTGTTCTCACTGTCACCATGATGAGAACGTTAATAGTGCATGAAACAAATTGGTAATCCTTATAATGTATAAAATAAGATGCATTTGTTATTATACTAATGCCTTGGTACAGATTATTATCAGAACATTCTGAAGTGAGCTGTTGTGCCTAGTTAGGCTTCTGTGCTACTTTCAGTTTCATATTTCTGCTGCTGCATGATCAGTTCCCAATGTAGTATGTGTGTATATAGCAGTATAAAACTTAATGCTGCATCATGTTAATAGAAGAGTGTAAAAATAAATCAGCGAAATAACTCTGATTCACCCCAGATGGTGTAGGTTTGGAGGCTAATAATACAAACATGAAGTGATTACAGGTGCCTGTACCAAACTCTTTGGCAGGAAAGTATAAAGATTGAGTGTTACTAATACCAAAGCCGGCCATTGGACACAATCCTAAACCAGTTCCACGTACCTCCTGTTCATCTGTATCCCTAAGATGTAGCTTAATGTCAGTTGTCTGTCTCCCTGGTCTTTAAAAGACCTGTTTTCAATCCCCATTGGAATTCTGTAGGCATTCCCCCCCAGCCAGGCTACATGCCCAACCAATTTCAATATCCTAATGGTACTAGGTGACCTGTATAATGCATGAAGTTTATCATCATGTGCTTATTTCATCTTCCTTAGGTTATATTTTGCTGGGCCCTTTGCTGTCAGATGCTTGTGAATTAAGTTTTGGTAACCATATACTGTTTGACTTCATGGAAACTTATTTGTGATTTCTTAGTCGGCTGTTTCTTCTCCACCACCCCACAGTACAGATTATAGAGGTCTGTATGGACACGCAGTATCTTGTTATAGGCCAAGTACAGCATGAGTTCATTTGAACTGAATAACTGTGGTACTTTTGCTCATTAAAGTAATCTTGCAACATGTCTGGAACTTGGAGTTTTTGTACATTGTAGTATTTATCCGATAATTCTGAAATCTTTCACACAGTCATAAGTTGAGCTGTGCTTTGTTTTGAACTGTATTGTATCTGTACTGTCCATATCGTTTATTGCCATATAATGTTCAAATATCCACACAGCAGCATAACGTAAAATTAAAAGAGGATCCTTGTGGAAGGAGAGTAAGTGACTGACAGCAGTCAGATGTGATTACTGCTGTTATATACGTTTTTGTGACCATGTTGATTTGTCATGTGAAACCATTAAATGCTGGTATTTGTGTAAGTTTTCAATTGTGCCTGTTTTTCAGGATCATAAGAGTGTGTTCTGTAACAGAATTTGCCATGTTTGATCATGAAGAACAGACTTGAGTAGTTTGTATCAAACATTGCTAGTAGAAAAGTAGATGCTCTCTTGAAAAAATGCAAAGCCAAAAGGAAACTTTTCTGTTTGTCACAAGGCAGAGAGTTGTAAGTGGCATTAGATCTTGGTTATTAAAGATTTAGCTTCTCATTGCCTAACATGACAATGGATCATGCAGGAAGCACTTTTGAAATACAGCTTGAATCTTATTCAGTACTTCCTAAGGAAGTGAACAAACAAAATTGACCTGAGCTGTAACAGGATGTATACAGAGTGTTCCCAGACACAGAAAGTAACAGCCTGAATGATGGCACTGTCAGACAGTATGACTTTTCTTTTGCAATGTCATAGTGTATTGTGCCATTTCACTAAGACCAACAATATTATTCTAATAGTAATTGAAAAGTTCTCAGAGTCAATGATTTTTGTAACTTGTATGTGTAAAGAAATTGTTTTATCATCTTCTTGCCAGCTATATTCTTGTTATTCAATTATGCAGAATGTCATTACAGATGAAGCCTTATAACGTTTCTTATAGGCTGAGAAACTGGAATCATCCACATATTGTATGTACTGTGAAAGGCAGGACCATAGACATCACACTAGTGAAGATTTCTTGTGTGGTTTTGTAGGCCATGTCCCATCATTTTGTAAAACCTTCGTATTTTACGTGTATTTCTGCGTATTGTGTTCAGACATATTTTTCATTACCAGTAGCATTAAGGAAAGGCTAATTGAAAATCCACAGATAATGCAGTGCAGTTGGTTATATAATGGAGATCCATGGTTGAAGTCAGTCAGATGAGGATGGGGTGGTGCAGGGGATTGTAGGTGAAGATTGAAATGAATTATCAAATGTTAGTTGTTGCAGTTGCTATGATCTTGTTACAAAATTAGGTCATTAAATTTGTAGGACTACTTTATTAAAGAACTGCTGACTCACATACTTAAATAAAATTCCAGTTGTCATAACATGCCTTTTAAGATGCTTTAATACTATGTTAATGCATACACACACAATATACTGTATATATAATGTCATCCACTTATTTAATTAAGCATTTGATGCAAATATGTCATCATCAGACACCTTACCTTATTCATCTGTTGCCATCAGCAGTGTGTAGCTGCCTGATTTATGTCCCTAATACCAGGCTTTACTATCAGCATGGTAATGTTCATGTGAAGTAGTTAGTTAGATATGCAGCTTGTCACAGGTGGACAGGATCCAGCATGACATTTTCTTTCTGCTTTGAAATGGGTGTCATGTTTGTTTATTTAAGAAAGCTCCTTATCTTTGGTTTTGTATATTTCTGAAAGTTTGCAAACTGTGATGTGCATGCTAATTAGTTCTTACCATGTATTTAAAAGCTGCATAAGACTGGTCATAGGCACACACTGATTCCGTATTGCAGATGTGCATCCAGCTTGAATAAAAGATTAGAAGGAAATCAAACATAAACGTAAACAGTAACTAGGTTTCTTTGATGTATGTATACTGCCAGTTATTTGCTTTAATGGTCATTACATCCATTATATTCATAGAAATTTAATTCTTCTTCTCCTTCTATTTTCATTGGCATGTGATTTACAAGTAGTTACTATAGGATTCTGACGATGGTGTATAACACACTGATATACTGGGTTTTCGGACTTTATCCATCGTCCTGGTTTTTAAGATAACTTGAGTGATTGAGGCTAGCTCTATCTAACGGACCCAGCGGAATAGGTGTTTTCCTTCACCTGAGGATGGAAACAGATCCAGTTTCTGAAACGTCGTGTTTTTATTAGTTATCTTAAAAACCAGGACGATGGATAAAGTCCGAAAACCCAATATATCAATGTGATTTACANTATCCAATCCATACCATCCCATCCTATCTCTCTAAGATCCATTCTAATATTGTCCACCCGTCCACGCCTTGGTCTTCCCTGTTGTCTCTTTCCTTCTGGCTTTCCCACCAATATCCTATACACATTCATTGTCTCTCCCATTCGTGCTACATGACCTGGCCACCTCATCCTCCTTGACTTGATAATTCTAATTACACTTGGAGAAGATACAAGTTATGAAGCTCCTCATTATGCAATTTTCTCCAACCTCCTATCACTTCATCTCTCTTTGGTCCAGATATTCTCCTCAACACCTTCAGTCTGTGTTCCTCCCTTAATGTCAGAGACCAAGTTTCACACCCATACAGAACCACAGGAAAAATTAGTTCTGTATATCCTAATTTTTATGCTTTTGGACAGCAGACGAGAAGGGAAAACCTTCTGGACTGAATGGTAGCAAGCATTACCTGATAATTATGAAGAAGATGAATATATTTATTTGGTTCCAAAAAAATCATACTAACAGAGATCTACTGCAGTCTTGTAGTTATAATAGTACTGATTAAAACTTTGGGTTTTTTTTTTCATATGCGGCTCTCCCATTGTGAATTGGTTCCTATGCAGTTGGAACATTACAAACCATCATTTAATAATTATAATACATTGTGTTTGGGTTACTAGCTGCAAATTCAGAAAAATTATTTTCTTGTCATTTTGAATTTTGGGAGATATTATGGTGCAAATGAAAGAATATTTCAGTGTTCGACCAAAAGTTAATGTCTAAACTTACATAAACATCAGTCTGTAAATATATGCTTATTCTTTATCGATTAAGGTACTAATGGGTTACACATGCCAGTGATTTCTGGTCAGTCAGTATGTAATACCATGTTAATGCTGTACATTTAATGTTATAGTTAATGCTTCTGTTTGTCACTGCTTCTCATTACAGTACTTTCACATTCATTTGATATATGCAGATTATTGCCATTGATGTTCATCCACTTGCAGCATAAATAAGTGACCATCAAGCTCACCTTACCTCATCTTTATATGAACCAGTGAGGTGCCGTGATACTGCTTCTGAGGTGCATAGGCATAACTGAATCTTGCAGAAGAGTTTCTCATTTGTTTCTGAACAGTATATACATAACAATGTTGCTGGTCATGTCAGGTGTAAACTTTCTGCAAGGAATAAGGTTACAAGTGACACAGATCACTGTTCTGTTAATAGTGGCAATACAGTACTGTGTTATTGAACAGAACTGAAAATGTCATACTGCTGTGGTAATGGAGCAATTCCAGTGATTTGGCCAAAACTTCTATAGCATTGTTCTTGTGAGTAAAAATGTTTGTATACATAGAAGATATCTTTGCATCAGCCAGTTACGAATGATAGTGATGGGAAAACGGGCTCTTCAAATTTAATCTATTTCCAGCTCAGACACTGTACAGTGACAATCTTTTTTGTTACTTCTGAGTGTTATAATCATGATACATAATTAAATAAAAAGTATTAAACTAATGACACACTTAGAAGCTACACTAGAAATATCACACATGTGGACCTCTTGTGATTTGGCATATATCAAGATGATACACTGTTCTTGTTGAAACACACTTTATCATTTCTGGTGTTAATAGATGGTTTCAGTAGTACAGTAATCCAGTGTTTTAGTACTGCAGCACTGTCTACATGTCTTAACAGCTGTATAAACTGCACTTTTTATATGCCCCTAAAAGAAAAAATTAAGGAACCTATGAAGTAGTCACCTCACCCCATCCAGTATCTTTCATTTAGAGTAAGTTGAATCAAATTTGCTGAAAAGGGGTGTTGCACCATACTGTTAGAAAACTTCAATTTCTCTTCTTAGAGGTATGGAAGAAGACAGATTTGAGCATGTCATTGTAAGTGGTCCCCATTACGGTAGTGTCAGAAGGAAAGAAAGAAAAGTGTTGGGTCTGAGAAGGTAGTCTCAGTATTGGCTGAATAACAATAAGCTCACATGAAACTTAACTAATACAAATTCTTCAGTTCTTGTTTTGTCTTGATGAATTATATGGCATGGTTATAAAAATATGATACTTTGAAACACTGAATATGTTTCATGGCTACTTTGTTTTTCATTAAAACGTAGTGTGTTCTTCATGATCTGTGTAACTTAAGAATAAACTACTGCTGTTAATACATTAGCATTGCAACAGAACATTACACACCTATAGCCTCTTCTCACTTGTGAATGAAGAAAATTACAATGTGTACCAAAGTTTAATATTCATTCCTTTCTAATTAGTCCTCATTTTTTGAGGAAGGAAACTGTTATTTTGGTAAAACTATAAAATACTGAACAGCACAGTGTTTAATTTCGCACGTGAAAGCCACAGGCATGTCTGAAACCAGTAATTGCCTTTTTCAATTATACATATGGTGAAAGGTGCTCTTATTCATTATACCATCACATACGACCAAATGAAAAGCTCTGTACTAATATCACAGCTGTACAGTTCCAGCCTTTGCTATCTGCTCTTCGCCCCAAAATATGGAACTGCTTTGACAGTGGCTTGAGACTGAATACTGATGAGTAGCTTAAAATTCATTTGACATTCTTAATAATGGAAGTTGCCAGTGCCCATGGTTCTTTTAACTTTATGTCACCACATGTACCCAACCACAAAGAAGGTTTTCCCTTCAGAAACCTCTCATAAAATTGTCTGAACACACACATAATCATTAGGTACTTGTGAAATGCATGAATATAGCTCACAGTGAATTTTTCATGCAGTGAGAAAGCAAATGTGCATTGCATTCAGGCAAGTACAGTATTCTGAACAAAGACCTACCATTCAATAGTTTTGCCATATGTAACACGAACTGCACTCTTTTAAAAGTACCAGGCATACACTCTGTCGATCACATGAGAGGCTCATCTGTAAATTGGTCTTGTATGAAATTGTTTTATTAGCCATCTTGTCATTATTGATGTGCTGCAGTCTCATCTAATGTCAACTTCATTTTTGCAAATTTTACACCCTCCTCAAATGATTTCATGGGAAAATTTGTTTTCAGACTGGAAGTAACTAAATTTACTCTGAAGTGATTGTATTGTTTTTGATATTTAATAACCGCTAATGGCTATGCTTTGCCTTTTAAAGCCAAAGAAAAAGTTCCTGCTCTGTAATTTCCAAGTTTACCACACCACAGATGCTTGGTTAACCTGTATTTTAAATTTTCTGAACAGACTATTCTTAATGAAATCTTCTCAGATCATTAGCCTAATCAGTTGGTTAAGAAGTTTCCAGGTTGGAGCCTAATCTCAGTGATCATCCATATTATGCAGTCCATGTAACCCATTGCTTTCTCCAGTATGGTGGTATTTATGAATTCATTGTTGTGGTCCATCAGTAATTATTAGTCAACTTTGGACACCATGAAAGCTTCAGATCTTATATCAGAATATTCTGAATAGTTCTGAGTTGTAAAGAACATTTCAGTTGCATATTTGTTTCATACTTCATTAATTTTTCTTTCATAGGTGTTCCTCCATATCTCACGAGCACAGTAAAATCTTTAATAATATGACTGGTTTTCCGGAAATTGTCCATCTAGGTTTTTCCAAACCCAAACCCAAACCAGAGCTTTCCATAATCAGGTGTTAAAACTGGAGAGGAGTTTCTGCTCAATTCAACCAGTTAGAAGGAATGAGTGTCCAGCAGTTTAATAAAATTAGTTTCACATGATAGTGGTAGGATGCTGTAAGTGTGCTACATACCAAAATGAGGCAGGAGACATTAAGGTGCAACAGTTGGCGAGATTTTACTTTCTGTCTAAGATCATTTAAGACTCAAAATGCATTGATGCAGGTCTGAAGGCACAGATGTGGCAGGCCTCCAACCAGACTTGTGCGACTGTGGGATATTAACTAATAAATTGAAAAATATTTACTCCATTACTGATAATCTTGGATGAGGTGAAAGAGGAAAGTGTGGTTTCAGAACTAGGTAAATGGTCCCATATTGTGCAAGGGGGAAGAAGTTAATATTATGTTGGATTTGAGGTTCTTACTGGAGTAACTGAAAAGAGTACTTGTCTTCCAGGATGTAACGCAGTGTAGTACAGTTCACTGATGTTTCGTTGGAACATACGCCTCCATCTTCAGTGTAGAAGGATGAATGTAGCAAGAAGCAAGTGCTTTCTTGCCACATGCTTCCTGTTGGTTACTTGCTTGGCTCATTAATTAGGCAGTCACTGTTTATATATAATACATATGGTTTAGCTACTTAAGAGTGGCAGTTTCTCTTATTTGTCACAAATCTTATTGCTCCCATTGTTAGAGTAAGAAATGTTCGTTTTGGAATAATTTTGTCATAATGTAATTAAGTATTGTGTATTTAGGAATTTGAGTATTCATGTAATGTTACATTTTAAAAGAAACTGTGGCTTCCATTATGTGCCATTAACATAATTTACATTTAGATTTAAGCTCTGAATTAAATTATGACAGTGAATTTGTAAATGGGCTGTTCACAGTTGGTCAGAAAATAAATTGATAGTATAGAGGCATGCAGCCTGAACTTGAGTGTGGACTTGTATGAATATTAAGCAAAACTACTTATTCTGAGGTACTAAGAAGCAGTGAATTATTTAGTTGAAGTTCTGTGTGTGGATGTAATCACTTGCAATAAGCTGTGTTTGCGCCAGTTCCATGACAATACTGATGTGGATAGTTTTTGAGCTGTTGGCTGTCATCATCGTGCTTTTGTTCCACTGTGTCAAATATGAAGCATTGTAGATTTAATGAGGGAGAAAATACGTTATTGGTTTTTTAATGGT